AGCTCCTGGACCAGGCAAGCTCCTGGACCAGGCAAGCTCTTGTACCAGGCAAGCTCCTGGACCAGGCAAGCTCTTGGACTAGGCAATCTCCTGGACCAGGCAAGCTCCTGGACCAGGCACACTCCTGGACCAGGCACGCTCCTGGACCAGGCAAGCTCCTGGACCAAGCAAGCTCCTTGACCAGGCAAGCTCCTGGACCAGGCAAGCTGCTGGACCAGGCAAGCTCCTGGACCAGGCATGCTCCTGGACCAGGCAAGCTCCTGGACCAGGCAAGCTCCTAGACCAGGCAAGCTCCTGGACCAAGCACGCTCCTGGACCAGGCACGCTCCTGGACCAGGCAAGTTCCTGGACCAGGCAAGCTCCTGGACCAGGCAAGCTCCTGGACCAGGCAAGCTCTTGGACCAGGCAAGCTCTTGGACCAGGCAAGCTCCTGGACCAGGCAAGCTCTTGGACCAGGCAAGCTCTTGGACCAGGCAAGGTCCTGGACCAGGCAAGGTCCTGGACCAGGCAAGCTCCTGGACTAGGCAAGCTCCTGGACCAGGCAAGCTCCTGGACCAGGCAAGCTCTTGGACCAGGCAAGCTCTTGGACCAGGCAAGCTCCTGGACTAGGCAAGCTCCTGGACCAGGCAAGCTCCTGGACAAGGCAAGCTCCTGGAACAGGCATACTCCTGGACCAGGCAAGCTCTTTGACCAGGCAAGCTCCTAGACCAGGCAAGCTCTTGGACCAGGCAAACTCTTGGACCACGCAAGCTCCTGGACAAGGCAAGCTCCTGGACCAGGCAAGCTCCTGGACCAGGCAAGCTCCTGGACCAGGCAAGCTCCTGGACCAGGCACGCTCCTGGACCAGGCAAGCTCCTGGATCAGGCAAGCTCCTGGATCAGGCAAGCTCCTGGACCAGGCACGCTCCTGGACCAGGCACGCTCCTGGACCAGGCAAGCTCCTGGACCATGCAAGCTCCTGGACCAGGCAAGCTCCTGGACCAGGCACGCTCCTGGACCAGGCAAGCTCCTGGACCATGCAAGCTCTTGGACCAGGCAAGCTCTTGGACCAGGCAAGCTCCTGGACCAGGCAAGCTCTTGGACCAGGCAAGCTCCTGGACCAGGCAAGCTCCTGGACCAGGCAAGCTCCTGGACCAGGCAAGCTCCTGGACCAGGCAAGCTCCTGAACAGGCAAGCTCCTAGACCAGGCAAGCTCCTGGACCAGGCAAGCTCCTAGACCAGGCACACTCCTGGACCAGGCAAGCTCCTAGACCAGACAAGCTCCTGGACCAGGCAAGCTCCTGGACCAGGCAAGCTCGTGGACCAGGCACGCTCCTGGACCAGGCAAGCTCCTGGACCAGGCAAGCTCCTGGACCAGGTAAGCTTCTGGACCAGGCAAGCTCCTGGACTAGGCAAGCTCCTGGACCAGGCAAGCTCCTGGACCAGGCATGCTCCTGGACCAGGCAAGCTCCTGGACCAGGCAAGCTCCTGGACCAGGCAAGCTCCTGGACCAGGCAAGCTCCTGGACCAGGCAAGCTCTTGGACCAGGCAAGCTCTTGGACCAGGCAAGCTCCTCGACCAGGCAAGCTCTTGGACCAGGAAAGCTCTTGGACCAGGCAAGCTCCTGGACCAGGCAAGCTCCTGGACCAGGCAAGCTCCTGGACCAGGCAAGCTCCTTCACCAGGCAAGCTCCTGGACCAGGCAAGCAGCTGGACCAGGCAAGCTCCTGGACCAGGCATGCTCCTGGACCAGGCAAGCTCCTGGACCAGGCAAGCTCCTCGACCAAGCAAGCTCCTGGACCAGGCAAGCTTCTTGACCAGGCAAGCTCTTGGACCAGGCACGCTCCTGGACCAGGCAAGCTCTTGGACCAGGCAAGCTCCTGAAACATGCAAGCTCTTGGACCAGGCAAGCTCTTGGACCAGGAAAGCTCTTGGACCAGGCAAGCTCCTGGACCAGGCAAGCTCCTGAAACATGCAAGCTCCTGGACCAGGCACGCTCCTGGAACAGGCAAGCTCCTGGACCAGGCAAGCTCCTGGACCAGGCAAGCTCCTTGACCAGGCAAGCTCCTGGACCAGACAAGCTCCTGGACCAGGCGAGCTCCTGGACCAGGCAAGCTCCTAGACCAGGCAAGCTCCTGGAACAGGCAAGCTCCTGGACCAGGCAAGCTCGTGGACCAGGCAAGCTCCTTGACCAGGCAAGCTCCTGGACCAGACAAGCTCCTGGACCAGGCGAGCTCCTGGACCAAGAAAGCTCCTGGACCAGGCAAGCTCTTGGACCAGGCAAGCTCCTGGACCAGGCAAGCTCCTGGACCAGGCAAGCTCCTGGACCAGGCAAGCTCTTGAACCAGGCAAGCTCCTGGACCAGGCAAGCTCTTGGACTAGGCAAGCTCCTGGACCAGGCAAGCTCTTGGACCAGGCACACTCCTGGACCAGGCACGCTCCTGGACCAGGCAAGCTCCTGGACCAAGCAAGCTCCTTCACCAGGCAAGCTCCTGGACCAGGCAAGCTGCTGGACCAGGCAAGCTCCTGGACCAGGCAAGCTCCTGGACCAGGTAAGCTTCTGGACCAGGCAAGCTCCTGGACTAGGCAAGCTCCTGGACCAGGCAAGCTGCTGGACCAGGCATGCTCCTGGACCAGGCAAGCTCCTGGACCAGGCAAGCTCCTGGACCAGGCAAGCTCCTGGACCAGGCAAGCTCCTGGACCAGGCAAGCTCTTGGACCAGGCAAGCTCCTGGACCAGGCAAGCTCTTGGACCAGGAAAGCTCTTGGACCTGGCAAGCTACTGGACCAGGCAAGCTCCTGGACCAGGCAAGTTCCTGGACCAGGCAAGCTCCTGGACCAGGCAAGCTCCTTCACCAGGCAAGCTCCTGGACCAGGCAAGCAGCTGGACCAGGCAAGCTCCTGGACCAGGCATGCTCCTGGACCAGGCAAGCTCCTGGACCAGGCAAGCTCCTCGACCAAGCAAGCTCCTGGACCAGGCAAGCTTCTTGACCAGGCAAGCTCTTGGACCAGGCACGCTCCTGGACCAGGCAAGCTCTTGGACCAGGCAAGCTCCTGGACCAGGCAAGCTCCTGAAACATGCAAGCTCTTGGACCAGGCAAGCTCTTGGACCAGGAAAGCTCTTGGACCAGGCAAGCTCCTGGACCAGGCAATTTCCTGAAACATGCAAGCTCCTGGACCAGGCACGCTCCTGGAACAGGCAAGCTCCTGGACCAGGCAAGCTCCTGGACCAGGCAAGCTCCTTGACCAGGCAAGCTCCTGGACCAGGCAAGCTCCTGGACCAGGCAAGCTCCTGGACCAGGCAAGATCCAGGACTAGGCAAGCTCCTGGACCAGGCAAGCTCCTGGACCAGGCAAGCTCCTGGACCAGGCATACTCCTGGACCAGGCAAGCTCTTGGACCAGGCAAGCTCCTAGACCAGGCAAGCTCTTGGACCAGGCAAACTCTTGGACCAGGCAAGCTCCTGGACAAGGCAAGCTCCTGGACCAGGCAAGCTCCTGGACCAGGCACGCTCCTGGACCAGGCAAGCTCCTGGATCAGGCAAGCTCCTGGACCAGGCACGCTCCTGGACCAGGCAAGCTCCTGGATCAGGCAAGCTCCTGGACCAGGCACGCTCCTGGACCAGGCAAGCTCCTAGACCAGGCAAGCTCCTGGACCAGGCACGCTTCTGGACCAGGCAAGCTCCTGGACCAGGCAAGCTCCTGGACCAGGCAAGCTCTTGGACCAGTCAAGCTCCTGGACCAGGCAAGCTTCTGGACCTCGCACGCTCCTGGACTAGGCAAGCTGCTGGAGCAGGCAAGCTCCTGGACCAGGCAAGCTCCTGGACCAGGCAAGTTCTGGACCAGGCAAGCTCCTGGACTAGGCACGCTCCTGGACCAGGCACACTCCTGGACCAGGCACGCTCCTGGACGAGGCCAGCTCCTGGACCAGGCAAGCGCCTTGACGAGGCAAGCTCCTGTACCAGGCAAGCTCTTGGACCAAGCATGCTCCTGGACCAGGCAAGCTCTTGGACCACGCAAGCTCCTTGACCAGGCAAGCTACTGGACCAGGCAATCTCCTGGACCAGGCAAGCTCCTGGACCAGGCAAGCTCCTGGACCAGGCAAGCTCCTGGACCAGGCACGCTCCTGGACCAGACAAGATCCTGGACCAGGCAAGATCCTGGAACAGCCAAGCTCCTGGACCAGGCAAGCTCTTGGACCAGGCAAGCTGGTGGACTAGGAAAGCTCCTGGACTAGGCAAGCTCCTGGACCAGGCAAGCTCTTGGACCAGGCAAGCTCATGGACCAGGCAAGCTCCTGGACCAGGCAAGCTCCTGGACCAGGCATGCTCCTGGACCAGGCAAGCTCCTGGACCAGGCACGCTCCTGGACCAGGCAAGTTCACGGGGAAAGTTGGCAAGAGTTTCACTAGGAAAAGTTCAGAATGATGGTGGTTACAACAACATTGGCAACACTGACTACATCAGAGCTAGCTAGGCTGCTGGTCGACCTCCAGCGCAGCACGGTCGACCGCGCTCCAGCGCAGCATCGCTCGCACCGCTCCAGCGTTGCAGAGTAGCGGTGTGCCAACGTTGCAAGTCCACGGTCTGCCAACGCTGCAGCAAGTCGGCTGCACAGCGTTGCACCCGCAGGACAACGGTGCACCTGCTTCGCAGGTGCGCGCAGCTGGTTGGTGCACTCGTCCTTGTCACGTGCACAGCGCAGACGCCTGGCAGACTCCACGCCAGCAACTGCGCCCACCAGCCACGTCGACCTCGGGATACCACCCCTGAGGTCGGCCTCGCAGACTCCACCCCGGCGACACTCGCGCACGTCGCCCGGGTATCCCGGTCGACCGAAGAACCACGCCTAGCCGACCAGCGCAGTCCGTAGCCGGCCAAGCATGCCCGGCGTCCCCAGTCCAGCGTCCAGGCGCCCTCCAGCTTCGCGCCCTTGCTGTGGCCCCCGTGCCCACTGCTGCAGGTCGGCTGCAACCCCCGCACACCCGACCACAAGGTCGACTCCGCCCAAGCGAGGACGGGGCCAAACTACACTCCCGTTGACAGGGAGAACAGGGCGGGGTGATGGAAGGAGGGAGAATGGGGCGGGGTGATGGAAGGAGGGAGAATGTTGCGGGGTGATGGAAAGCGGGAGTATGGGGCGGGGTGATGGAAAGCGGGAGAATGGGGCGGGGTGATGGAAAGCGGGAGAATGGGGCGGGGAGATGGAAAGCGGGAGAATGGGGCGGGGAGATGGAAAGCAGGAGAATGGGGCGGGGTGATGGAAAGCGGGAGAATGAGGCGGGGTGATGGAAAGCGGGAGAATGGGGCGGGGTGATGGAAAGCGGGAGAATGGGGCGGGGTGATGGAAGCAGGGAGAATGGGGTGGGGTGATGGAAGGAGGGAGAATGGGGTGGGGTGATGGAAAGCGGGAGAATGGGGCGGGGTGATGGAAAGCGGGAGAATGGGGCGGGGTGATGGAAATCGGGAGAATTGGGCGGGGTGATGGAAAGCGGGAGAATGGGGCGGGGTGATGGAAGGAGGGAGAATGGGGCGGGGTGATGGAAGGAGGGAGAATGGGGTGGGGTGATGGAAGGAGGGAGAATGGGGCGGGGTGATGGAAAGCGGGAGAATGGGGCGGGGTGATGGAAAGCCGGAGAAATGGGGTGGGGTGATGGAAGGAGGGAGAATGGGGCGGGGTGATGGAAGGAGGGAGAATGGGGCAGGGTGATGGAAGGAGGGAGAATGGGGCGGGGTGATGGAAAGCGGGAGAATGGGGCGGGGTGATGGAAAGCGGGAGGATGGGGCGGGGTGATGGAAAGCGGGAGAATGGGGCGGGGTGATGGAAAGCGGGAGAATGGGGCGGGGTGATGGAAGGAGGGAGAATGGGGCGGGGTGATGGAAGGAGGGAGAATGGGGCGGGGTGATGGAAAGCGGGAGAATGGGGCGGGGTGATGGAAAGCGGGAGAATGGGGCGGGGTGATGGAAAGCGGGAGAATGAGGCGGGGTGATGGAAAGCGGGAGAATGGGGCGGGGTGATGGAAAGCGGGAGAATGGGGTGGGGTGATGGAAGGAGGGAGAATGGGGCGGGATGATGGAAAGCGGGAGAATGGGGCGGGGTGATGGAAAGCGGGAGAATGGGGCGGGGTGATGGAAGGAGGGAGAATGGGGTGGGGTGATGGAAGGAGGGAGAAAGGGGCGGGGTGATGGAAAGCGGGAGAATGGGGCGGGGTGATGGAAGGAGGGAGAATGGGGTGGGGTGATGGAAGGAGGGAGAAAGGGGCGGGGTGATGGAAAGCGGGAGAATGGGGCGGGGTGATGGAAAGCGGGAGAATGGGGCGGGGTGATGGAAAGCGGGAGAATGGGGCGGGGTGATGGAAAGCGGGAGAATGGGGCGGGGTGATGGAAAGCGGGAGAATGGGGCGGGGTGATGGAAAGCGGGAGAATGGGGCGGGGTGATGGAAAGCGGGAGAATGGGGCGGGGTGATGGAAAGCGGGAGAATGAGGCGGGGTGATGGAAAGCGGGAGAATGGGGTGGGGTGATGGAAGGAGGGAGAATGGGGCGGGGTGATGGAAAGCGGGAGAATGGGGCGGGGTGATGGAAAGCGGGAGAATGGGGCGGGGTGATGGAAGGAGGGAGAATGGGGTGGGGTGATGGAAGGAGGGAGAAAGGGGCGGGGTGATGGAAAGCGGGAGAATGGGGCGGGGTGATGGAAGGAGGGAGAATGGGGTGGGGTGATGGAAGGAGGGAGAATGGGGCGGGGTGATGGAAAGCGGGAGAATGGGGCGGGGTGATGGAAAGTGGGAGAATGGGGCGGGGTGATGGAAAGCGGGAGAATGGGGCGGGGTGATGGAAAGCGGGAGAATGGGGCGGGGTGATGGAAAGCGGGAGAATGGGGCGGGGTGATGGAAAGCTGGAGAATGGGGCGGGGTGATGGAAAGCGGGAGAATGGGGCGGGGTGATGGAAGGAGGGAGAATGGGGCGGGGTGATGGAAAGCGGGAGAATGGGGCGGGGTGATGGAAAGCGGGAGAATGGGGCGGGGTGATGGAAGGAGGGAGAATGGGGCGGGGTGATGGAAGGAGGGAGAATGGGGCGGGGTGATGGAAAGCGGGAGAATGGGGCGGGGTGATGGAAAGCGGGAGAATGGGGCGGGGTGATGGAAAGCGGGAGAATGGGGCGGGGTGATGGAAAGCGGGAGAATGGGGCGGGGTGATGGATAGCGGGAGACTGGGGTGGGGTGATGGAAAGCGGGAGAATGGGGTGGGGTGATGGAAGGAGGGAGAATGGGGCGGGGTGATGGAAGGAGGGAGAATGGGGCGGGGTGATGGAAGGAGAGAATGGGGCGGGGTGATGGAAGGAGGGAGAATGGGGCTGGGTGATGGAAGGAGGGAGAATGGGGCGGGGTGATGGAAAGCGGGAGAATGGGGCGGGCTGATGGAAAGCGGGAGAATGGGGCGGGGTGATGGAAAGCGGGAGAATGGGGCAGGGTGATGGAAGGAGGGAGAATGGGGCGGGGTGATGGAAGGAGGGAGAATGGGGCGGGGTGATGGATAGCGGGAGAATGGGGCGGGGTGATGGATAGCGGGAGAATGGGGCGGGGTGATGGAAAGCAGGAGAATGGGGCGGGGTGATAGAAAGCGGGAGAATGGGGCGGGATGATGGAAAGCGGGAGAATGGGGCGGGGTGATGGAAAGCGCGAGAATGGGGCGGGGTGATGGAAAGCGGGAGAATGGGGCGTGGTGATTGAAAGCGGGAGAATGGGGCGGGGTGATGGAAGGAGGGAGAAAGGGGCAGGGTGATGGAAAGCGGGAGAATGGGGCGGGGTGATGGAAGGAGGGAGAATGGGGTGGGGTGATGGAAGGAGGGAGAAAGGGGCGGGGTGATGGAAGGAGGGAGAATGGGGCAGGGTGATGGAAGGAGGGAGAATGGGGCGGGGTGATGGAAGGACGGAGAATGGGGTGGGGTGATGGAAGGAGGGAGAAAGGGGCGGGGTGATGGAAGGAGGGAGAATGGGGCAGGGTGATGGAAGGAGGGAGAATGGGGCGGGGTGATGGAAAGCGGGAGAATGGGGCGGGGTGATGGAAAGCGGGAGAATGAGGCGGGGTGATGGAAAGCGGGAGAATGGGGTGGGGTGATGGAAGGAGGGAGAATGGGGCGGGTGATGGAAAGCGAGAGAATGGGGCGGGGTGATGGAAAGCGGGAGAATGGGGCGGGGTGATGGAAGGAGGGAGAATGGGGTGGGGTGATGGAAGGAGGGAGAAAGGGGCGGGGTGGTGGAAAGCGGGAGAATGGGGCGGGGTGATGGAAGGAGGGAGAATGGGGTGGGGTGATGGAAGGAGGGAGAAAGGGGCGGGGTGATGGAAAGCGGGAGAATGGGGCGGGGTGATGGAAAGCGGGAGAATGGGGCGGGGTGATGGAAAGCGGGAGAATGGGGCGGGGTGATGGAAAGCGGGAGAATGGGGCGGGGTGATGGAAAGCGGGAGAATGGGGCGGGGTGATGGAAAGCGGGAGAATGGGGCGGGGTGATGGAAAGCGGGAGAATGGGGCGGGGTGATGGAAATCGGGAGAATGGGGCGGGGTGATGGAAAGCGGGAGAATGGGGCGGGGTGATGGAAGGAGGGAGAATGGGGCGGGGTGATGGAAAGCGGGAGAATGGGGCGGGGTGATGGAAAGCAGGAGAATGGGGCGGGGTGATGGAAAGCGGGAGAATGGGGCGGGGTGATGGAAAGCGGGAGAATGGGGCGGGGTGATGGAAAGCGGGAGAATGGGGCGGGGTGATGGAAGGAGGGAGAATGGGGCGGGGTGATGGAAAGCGGGAGAATGGGGCAGGGTGATGGAAAGCGGGAGAATGAGGCGGGGTGATGGAAAGCGGGAGAATGGGGTGGAGTGATGGAAGGAGGGAGAATGGGGCGGGGTGATGGAAAGCGGGAGAATGGGGCGGGGTGATGGAAGGAGGGAGAATGGGGTGGGGTGATGGAAGGAGGGAGAATGGGGGGGGGGTGATGGAAGGAGGGAGAAAGGGGCGGGGTGATGGAAAGCGGGAGAATGGGGCGGGGTGATGGAAGGAGGGAGAATGGGGTGGGGTGATGGAAGGAGGGAGAAAGGGGCGGGGTGATGGAAAGCGGGAGAATGGGGCGGGGTGATGGAAAGCGGGAGAATGGGGCGGGGTGATGGAAAGCGGGAGAATGGGGCGGGGTGATGGAAAGCGGGAGAATGGGGCGGGGTGATGGAAAGCGGGAGAATGGGGCAGGGTGATGGAAAGCGGGAGAATGGGGCGGGGTGATGGAAAGCGGGAGAATGGGGCGGGGTGATGGAAAGCGGGAGAATGGGGCGGGGTGATGGAAAGCTGGAGAATGGGGCGGGGTGATGGAAAGCGGGAGAATGGGGTGGGGTGATGGAAGGAGGGAGAATGGGGCGGGGTGATGGAAAGCGGGAGAATGGGGCGGGGTGATGGAAAGCGGGAGAATGGGGCGGGGTGATGGAAGGAGGGAGAATGGGGCGGGGTGATGGAAGGAGGGAGAATGGGGCGGGGTGATGGAAAGCGGGAGAATGGGGCGGGGTGATGGAAAGCGGGAGAATGGGGCGGGGTGATGGAAAGCGGGAGAATGGGGCGGGGTGATGGAAAGCGGGAGAATGGGGCGGGGTGATGGATAGCGGGAGACTGGGGTGGGGTGATGGAAAGCGGGAGAATGGGGTGGGGTGATGGAAGGAGGGAGAATGGGGCGGGGTGATGGAAGGAGGGAGAATGGGGCGGGGTGATGGAAGGAGGGAGAATGGGGCGGGGTGATGGAAGGAGGGAGAATGGGGCTGGGTGATGGAAGGAGGGAGAATGGGGCGGGGTGATGGAAAGCGGGAGAATGGGGCAGATGCTGAAGTGGCAGATTGAACGGCTTGAACTGGACACAGGTCTAACAGAAAAATGTTTATTGCAACAGAATTTTCACGACAAGTACAACACAACACATCTCCTTGCGATAATCGCACAAGTAACAAGGTCACTGTTTCAAAGGTGCCTTCTTCACTCGGTCAGCTATCCTTGCAGGTCCGTCAACGTGTGTCTTGAATCTTCCACGTCCTTCCTCTTCCGTTTCCTGCCACACCAAGTAACAGACAAAACGCATCCATAATGTAATTTGGTAACCACCTCACCTCACTGAAAACAAATTATCTCCTCTCCCCTCCCCACCTCCCCCCCCCCCCCCCCCCCCTTCGTCCCTTCAACACCACTTCCCCTTCCCCTCCTCCGCCCCGCCCTCCCTACCTACACTCAGCATCCAATTTGAACCAGGACGGAACATTGTACCTTATATTCCCCGATCTGCACGACGTCCTCGTCCCGCAGAACATGCGCCAAGCCGCAGCGCTGCGGGTAGTGCTTGAATGAATAACCACCTCGCCTCACCTCACCTAGCACACTCTCAACATCCAGATTGAGTCAAGGAAGCACATTACCTTCTTCTTCACGATCTGCACAACGTCTTCATCCCGCAGAACATGCGCCAAGCCGCAGCGCTGCGGGTAGTGCTTGACGCTGATGCCCCAGCACAGCACATACTTCACGTCCTTGAGCAACCCCCTGTGAATGTGGTCACAGAAGTCCCGCACTGTGCACCCTCCACGGTCCTGAGAAGCGGGCAGACAAACAGGGGAAAAGAGGGGGGGGGGGTTGAAACATGAAAACACACAGGCCACTAGATGCAGCGAGAGATGCAAGGAAGAGCAGCCATCTGGTTCTACGTATTGTGCTAGAGAAGGCAGTAGAACCCATCTGGTGGGGAGAGGTGGAACGAGTGTTGAGTAGCACTCAGTCACTGTGGGAAGGAGCACAGTGTTAGTCAGCAACGTTCGGCTGCTGCTCCGAGTGGTATGGCGTGGTGTGCTTGCACACGCACACAACAACGAGGGCACTCACAGTGGAGAGCACGACAGGGTCCACAAAGTCAGGCTGCTGCTGCCCCTGCAGCTTGGGCACACTCGCACGAGCCCCTATCTCCACCAGAGAGACAGATTGACGCACTCATGGTGGAGAGTGGTGACTGAGTTTTGGAGGAGGTGGAGTGCGGTGCAGGTGTGAACTCACAGTGGAGAGCACGATGGGGTCAGCAAAGTCAGGCTGCTGGCCTTGTGGCTTGGTGTACACTCGCACGAGACCCATCAGCATCGTTGAGACAAGACCCGGTGTGATGCACTCACGGTGGAGAGCGGTGATTGTGTTGAAGTAAAGGTGGAGTGCGATGCATTGCGGTAACTCACGGTGGAGAGCACAACAGGGTCGGCGAAATCGGGCTGCTGGCCCTGTGGCTTGGTGTACACTCGCACGAGACCCATCTCCTCCCACATGCGCGCCAACAGATGATCCATGTTCAGCTGTAAGGGGCGAAAAAAGGAAGAGTGGTGGGTTAGAAAAGGGAATTGAGTTGAAGGGGGAAGGGGGAACGGTGACGGGATGAGGGGATGGGGGAGTTTGTGCCTGGGCCTTGCAAGTGCATATGCTGCACATGAGACCCTTTTGAGTCGACTCAAAAGTCACCTCGTTGCAAGTGCATATGCTGCACATGAGACCCTTTTGAGTCGACTCAAAAGTCACCTCGTTGCAAGTGCATATGCTGCACATGAGACCCTTTTGAGTCGACTCAAAAGTCACCTCGTTGCAAGTGCATATGCTGCACATGTGACCCTTTTGAGTCGACTCAAAAGTCACCTCGTTGCAAGTGCATATGCTGCACACGAGACCCATCTCCTCCCACATGCGCGCCAGCAGATGCAAAGGAAAGGAAGGAAAAGGGGGTGTAACTGAATGAGGAATGGGAGACTGTGAGTGGCAGCAGGTGCATGTGCATCGTTCTCATCTCGAGACTGGCAGAGATGACAACGGAGTGCGGTGCCAGCCGAGGTGACTTTTGAGTCGACTCAAAAGTCACCTCGTGACAACGGAGCTGTTATAGTCTGCAGTCCACTTAGGGGTCGCGGATGCCCATGAAACCGCCTAAGCAGAATCTGACGTCTTCAAACCGCCTCTGTTCAAAACGCCGTCACGATCAGCTCCGAGAACATACGAGGCTGAAACTTGGACAGCGGTTAGCCTTAGGTGTCTGCTTTCCAACGGTATATTACTTGCTATTATCAGAGGTGTGTGCACTACGCAGTGAACGAAAACGTAAGCTCGGCTGAAAAAACGTGTATTCTCATTGATGCAAGGAAGAGGTGAGTACAACATTGCCTAGGGGACTCATAAGGGGTTGGGTCATCCTGGGAACTCAGAGAAGGTTGATTCCTAGGGGAGAAAGGCTAGAGAAGAATGGGAAACGTCCTAGCTAGGTCAGCAAAGCCAACCACACTTGGATGTTCAGAGCTGTACTCAAGGCTACCAATAGTGAGTCAAGCCAACATGAGTCAGCTTGTCTTCCCACTTGCACCCTCTTGCAAGTTGCTTCCAGGAAGACCACACTTCTCAAAAGGAGGGTTATAGAGTCCCACTTGACCACCTGTACTTCTTGTCTCATTCTCTGTCCCTGCACCATTGGCATGACAACAATGAAAGGGTGGCAAGGGAAATGCTGCCAACAGTGCACCATGACTACGGAACAGTGAATTTCGGCAGCTGTCACGCAATGCTCAGATGTTGGATCGTTCTGAAACTTGGTGACCACTTGCACAGCGGGGCAAAGGACTGCTAGACCGAATTTCAGACCAATCAGATCTCTGTAGACGAGTCAGCAGCCGAAATGGTGAACTCGGGTGTTACCAAAAAGGAGTAACACACACTTCCGGGATGCCATAAGTCTTGAAACATAAAATGTTGTCATGCCTTGGTAACTGCTTCAAAAACTCTGAAACTTTGAGGGTTTGAAGAAAACGTGTTGAACAACCTCCCCACAAAATTCCAGAAGCTGAGCAGGCTTGTAGGCCGAATGGGAGTGCGATGACCGTGCCACTGTAATGTGTTGGCACAACAAACTCCCCCTCATCGTGCTCTCATTCATCCCTTAGCTGCTCCCTGAAGCTGCCTCCCCTAGTTGAAGGACATGCCACACAAGGTGGCGCAGGTCCAATGCTGATGCTCTGCAAGCCGCTTCGTCAAAAAATCTGCAGGTTGCTTGGTAGTGTTGATGTAGTGCAAGGAGACCGTGCCCTTCTTCACCTCCTTCCTCACCCAATGCCATTTGATATGCATGTGCTTGTTCAGCCCATGGAGCACAGCATTGCGAGCCATTGCAATTGCTCCTTGGCTGTCACAAAACACAGGTGTAGGACCCTCTTGCTCCTGCCCCAACTCCTCAAGCAACCTCCTCATCCAAACCACCTCCTTCACCCCATGAAACAACGCCATGTACTCGCTCTCCGTTGATGAGTGAGCTATCTCCCCTTGCTTCTTAGACTTCCAGCTCACTGGACTCCCTCCAACACAGCATACATAGCCACCGTGGGATGTTGCATCACTGATGTCACTTGCCCAGGTAGCATCGGTGAAGCACGAGAGGTACAAGTGTCCACGCCTTGCAGGTGCACCGGTCTTCGTGCTCACCTCCTCCACTCCCTTTTGCGTCAGCTGCCCATGCACTGAATATTGCAGCCCCACCCTTGAGGTTGCCATGCAGTACCTCACCAGCCTCTCTGCTGCATCAAGGTGCTCTTGAAGGGGCCTAGACACCACACGAGCCAGCTGCGAAACCGCGAATGAAATATCGGGGCGAGTGTTGACCGAAGCATACATCAAGCTCCCCACCATTGACTGGAACCGACGCTGCAACTCGGGCTCCAACACCTCACCCTCCTCTTCATCAAGGTGTAGCTGAAATCCTGAGGGTAGTGGAGTCTTTACACTCCTCCCTTCCTCCAGCCCATACCTCTCCCCCATGGCTGCAAGGTACTTGTGTTGGTGAAGCCTCAACCATCCCTTCACCTCGTCCCGCTCCACGTGAAGACCAAGGTAATACCCCACTGGTCCAAGGGCCTTGCATTGAAAGGTCTCCTTCAGCTTCCCTTGCACCTCCTTGATCCTCTCCAGGGATGGAGAGAAGAGGAGAATGTCATCGACGTAGACAAGGAGAAACACTTTCTCCTCATCCCCCTCGGTTATGAAGAGACTCTCGTCGCACCCGCTAACTTTGAAGCCAAGAGCCTCCAACGCCTCCACCAGCCTTGCATACCAGCACCTTGGAGCTTGTTTGAGGCCATAGATGGCCTTGTTGAGCCTGCAAACACGTCCGCTCCCATCGTCGTACCCCTCTGGCTGCTTCATGTAAATCTCCTCATCTACCACGCCATAGAGGAAAGCCGTCTTCACATCCATTTGCTCCACCTTCCAACCACAAACGGCAGCTGCTGCCAGCAACACCCGGAGCGTAGGAGCCTTGGCAACAGGAGCAAACACCTCCTTAAAGTCAACCCCCTCCCTCTGCTGGAAACCCTTGATCACAAGTCTTGTTTTGCGCCTCTCCAACTTCCCCTCCGCATCGGTCTTCACACGTAATATCCACGTGCAATCCAATGCCTTTCTTCCCGGGGGCAGATTGGTGAGGGTCCACGTTCCATTCTCCATGAGGCTCTTAAACTCATCCTCCCTTGAAGCCAACCAAGCCTCTCGATCATCTCCAGCAAGTGCTTCCTCCATCGAAGCCGGTTTATGAGGTAAGTTGACACCGAAGCAACAAATCTGCTCCATCTCTCCCTCGGCTCCCTTCTCCTCATCATCGTCCTCCTCCTGGACCAGCAATGCCTTGGGACCCCCAAGCCTTTCATACTTGAGGAAATCCCTTGGGTGAGCAGCTCTTTTGGGCCTCTCCTTGGCTGCACTCTCCTTAGCTCCACCACGGACAGCACCACGCTTCCCTTGGGTTGTCCGCCTTGGTGGAAGAGTAGGGGATGGTGTAGGCTGCTGCACCTCCTCCTCGGCATCACCTCTCTCAGCTACAGGGGCCTTCTGTTGCTGCAACACTCCCTCCACCTCTGCTGCCTCCCCTTCAGCACCTCCCAAGTCATGTGACACCTCCGTTACCTCTGAAGACGAAGACAACTCGATGGGAATGAAGAGTGGGTCATTCGTTCCCACCTCTATTCCGAGCGGAATGGTGACCTTGCTCCTCCCTCGCTCCAACCACTCCTTGAACATGAGCCCCTCCATGAACTTGGCATCTCTGGTGGTGAAGATGGTGTTGGCTATTGGGTCCCACATGAGCCACCCCTTGCTCCCTTGTGCAAGTCCCAAATGAACAGCCCACACCGCCGCCGCTTGAAGCTTGTCACGCTTTTCCTTAGGGACGTGCACGAGTCCCATGCACCCAAAGACTCGAAGCATATCCACCAGAGGCTTCTTGCCCCTCCATTTCTCCATAGGGACCCAATCCTGCCCTCCCACATGAGTCAATACTCGGTTCTTGATGACGGTGGCATGGCGAATAGCGAGGGGCCAGAACCGTAAGGGTAGACCCGAGTCTACCAACATCGTTCTCCCGCCCTCCAAGATGGTCCGGTTCGCTCTCTCTGCCACGCCATTGGATTGAGGGGTGTAGGCCGTGGTGAGCTGCTGCTTGATGCCATGCCGCTTCAGCCAGCTCCGGAACTCCGCTCCCAAGAACTCCCCACCACGGTCACTACGTATCGCCTTCACCCGCTTGCCGCTCTCTCGCTCCACCATGGGCAGCCACTCTTCAATGATGACCCTTGCAGCATCACTCTTCTTTGCAAGTGGAAAGGACCAGGTGAGCCTTGTGTTGTCATCCACCATGGTCATAGAATACAGGGCCCCACCATCTCCCTTCACCTTCATGGGTCCCACGAGATCCACATGCACGAGCTCCACCGGGTCACTCGACTCCCCCTCCACCGAATGGAAGGGAAACCGTGAAAACTTGCTGGTCAAGCAAGTCTCACAAGATCCCACCTCCTTGGGCTCCCCCTTTATCCTCAGCCCCTTGACTCTTTCCTCCTTAAACAGCTGCTGCAACTGAGGTAGCGCCACGTGGCCAAAGCGACGGTGTGCGGTGAGCCAATCCGTCTCACCCGTGCTAGGAGTTACACTTGGAAGCGCAGCCCCTCCATGCCCAAGGAGCCCACCATCACTGTCATCACCACCCCCTCCATTGTCCACGTGGTTAACACGCCCTCCTCTCACATCTCCAGCAGCCAAGCGCGCAGCCGCCTCCTTCCATGGCAGCACCGGTATCTCCCACATGGACCGGTGCATGTCCTTGCCGCCTCGGAGGTCCCACAATACGCGCCCATCCAGAGTTGCCTTGAAAACCTTTGTGCCCAACATCTCCATCTTCATCCCTGCCTCACTTAGGGCCTTGGTAGAGAGGAGGTTGGCACACAATCCAGGAACAAGGAGAACACGCTTCAGCCCCACAAGCCTCCCATCCGCACCCATGAACATGGCTCTCCCCTCGCCACGCACGGGTACAACTTGGCCGGTGGCTGAAACGACGGTGGCTGCCTTTGATGGCCTAACTTCATCCAGTAGATCCTCTCGGTTGGTCATGGTCATGAAGGCTCCCGTGTCGATGACCCAATGGGAGGAGCGGTGAAGAGCAATCTTGCTGGCCGGCACAACCATGTCCTCGGGGCACGCCTCCCCTACATGGTAGAACATGCCGCCGTATCCGCCAGCACCTCCTTCGCCCTCCTCACTGCCCATGCCTTCTCCCATAGCTCCATGAACACCCTTGGAGCCCTCAATTGATGGCTGACCAGGCCTCCAACCGTCAGGTAGCTTGCGGCACTTGAACCATGGGTGCCCTTCCACATGGCAATACCAACACTTGCCGCCACACCGCTTGCCTCCCTTGTTGCCACGCTTCCCTCCCGAATGCTGCTCCCCTCCAGAGCCTTCCTTGGCCTTCCCTTTCTTGCTGCCACGCCCCTTGAAGCCCTTCATGCCATAGGCAGAGCCTCCACCTTCACCGGCAGCGGCGGTCAGCTCCTTCCTCCGAAACTCCTCTTGAAGAACTTGTGCGCGAATCCACTCAAGGGACCACGAGTCCTTCATCCCATTAAGGTTGACCACCAAGGGCCCCCACGACTCCGGCAGCAGGGAGAGAGCCTTGTAGCACTTGATTTTCTCAGGGTAGTCCACACCAGCAGCTGAGAGCTTCACATAGAGGTCCCGGAGTTGATCGAACGCTCCTTGTACGGCATCACCCTCGTTGATCTTCACCGCATGGAGTTGTCGCTCGAGCACCACCACCATTGCTTCGCTGCTGGGGGCATGGACATCCTTCAATATCCTCCATGCCTTAGGACCACACTCAGCTTCCTTGATGAGATGCTTGATGTGGTGCAGCTGGTTGGATGAGAGGCATTGGGAGAGAAGGAAGAATCCATCCTTGGACCGGCGATCCCATTCTTTGGTCGCTCCTTCGCTCGTAGGCCCCTTGAATTCTCCATCCATCACTTCAAGCAGCCCATAATGGTTGAAGAGGAGCTCCATCCTGAAGCTCCATGATGCCCAATCATCCCCAGAGAACTTCTCCAGGTTGAATGCCTTCACATCATCCTTAGCTGATGTTGAAACTGAAGCCATTGGCGCAGATCCGCCTGCAACGCCTCTTCCCGCTTCCCCAGCGCCTCTCACGCCACCACTGCCACTGGGACCAGCTGGAGCAGAACCTTCAGCCTCTATTTTCACCCACGAACAGAGTAGAACAGGCTCTGATACCACTTGTTATAGTCTGCAGTCCACTTAGGGGTCGCGGATGCCCATGAAACCGCCTAAGCAGAATCTGACGTCTTCAAACCGCCTCTGTTCAAAACGCCGTCACGATCAGCTCCGAGAACATACGAGGCTGAAACTTGGACAGCGGTTAGCCTTAGGTGTCTGCTTTCCAACGGTATATTACTTGCTATTATCAGAGGTGTGCGCACTACGCAGTGAACGAAAACGTAAGCTCGGCTGAAAAAACGTGTATTCTCATTGATGCAAGGAAGAGGTGAGTACAACATTGCCTAGGGGACTCATAAGGGGTTGGGTCATCCTGGGAACTCAGAGAAGGTTGAGTCCTAGGGGAGAAAGGCTAGAGAAGAATGGGAAACGTCCTAGCTAGGTCAGCAAAGCCAACCACACTTGGATGTTCAGAGCTGTACTCAAGGCTACCAATAGTGAGTCAAGCCAACATGAGTCAGCTTGTCTTCCCACTTGCACCCTCTTGCAAGTTGCTTCCAGGAAGACCACACTTCTCAAAAGGAGGGTTATAGAGTCCCACTTGACCACCTGTACTTCTTGTCTCATTCTCTGTCCCTGCACCATTGGCATGACAACAATGAAAGGGTGGCAAGGGAAATGCTGCCAACAGTGCACCATGACTACGGAACAGTGAATTTCGGCAGCTGTCACGCAATGCTCAGATGTTGGATCGTTCTGAAACTTGGTGACCACTTGCACAGCGGGGCAAAGGACTTCTAGACCGAATTTCAGACCAATCAGATCTCTGTAGACGAGTCAGCAGCCGAAATGGTGAACTCGGGTGTTACCAAAAAGGAGTAACACACACTTCCGGGATGCCATAAGTCTTGAAACATAAAATGTTGTCATGCCTTGGTAACTGCTTCAAAAACTCTGAAACTTTGAGGGTTTGAAGAAAACGTGTTGAACAACCTCCCCACAAAATTCCAGAAGCTGAGCAGGCTTGTAGGCCGAATGGGAGTGCGATGACCGTGCCACTGTAATGTGTTGGCACAACAGGAGCGCGGTGCCAGCCTGCCAACGTCGTCTATGCAATCTTGTTGTATACGTCGAGGCACCGCTTGTTCTTGCGACTGCCCTCTCATTGTATTCTGTACCCACCTGTCAACCCCAAACCCAAACTCACCTCCAGATTGGAGGAAATCACAGCGGAATGAGGCTGCCTCGCCAGGCTACCAACGTCGTCTATGCCCATGACATCTATCTTGTCTTGTTATACACGTAGAGGCACTTGATGCACTTGCGACTGCCCTCTCATTGCATTCTGTACCCACCTGTCGCACCCAACCCCAAACTCACCTCAAGATTGGCGGAGCTCACAACTGAGTGGGGCGACTTTTGAGTCGAGCTCACAACTGAGTGGGGCTGCCTGGCCAGCCTGTCAACGTCGTCTATGCCCTTGACGTCAATCTTGCTGTACACGTGAAGGCACCTCATGTACTTGCAGTTTCCCACTCCTTGACCCTGTGCCTCAGATTGCCCACTGAGTCGACTCAACACCGAATAACCACCTCGAAATTGGCAGAGATTACCACAGAATGGGGCTGCCTGGCCAGCCTGTCAACGTCGTCTATGCCCATGACGTCTATCTTGTTGTACACGTAGAGGCACCGAATGTACTTGCAGTTGCCCTTGCCCCTTTCCCACCCCAAACGCACCTCCAGATTAGCAGAGATGACAACTGAGTGCGGCTGCCTGACCAGGCGATCCACATCGTCTATGCCCATGACGTCAATCTTGTTGTACACGTAGAGGCACCGAATGTACTTGCGGTTGCCTTCAATCACGTCGATCAGATCGTCCACCGTGCTGTCCTCACGGAATAGCACCTGACGGGTGGAAGGGAATACGGTACGATACAATGGCATTCAATACACGCACATTCGTAACAAGCACAGTGAATAAAGGCACAACACAACCACTTGCCCTCGGTTACGTCAACCAGATCATCTCATCTCATGTGCTGTCGCCAATCAGAGTAGCACCTGAGTTGGAAAGAGAAAATGATACAAGCACATAGAACCAGGCACATTCGGTACAACAACATTCATTACAACCACATCAACTAGCGCCTAAAGAATGAGGCGCTAGTTAACATCACTTCCCCCCCTCTCTTTCCCCCACAGAGATTTGGCTCACCTCCGCGTTGTGGATCTTGTACTCGTGCAGGATCTGGTAGCACAGCTTCTCATCAAAGAGGGGTGCCCCCACCCTCTGCCCCCTCCCTCTCCCCCCACCTCCCCCTCCACACGAATTGATTCACCTCAGCATTGTGGATCATGTACGCGTGCAGGATCTGGTAGCACAGCTTCTCATCGATGTGTGTGAGAGGAGTGCCGACCCCCCTGGTCCCCCCTTCCTGTCACCGAATATGCACGGTTGTGCATATAAGGTGCCAGTATCATGGTGGTGTAGTGGAGGTGTAGCTATGTTGTGTTTGCAAATTCGAGGATAGGTAGGTGGGAGCTGGGAAATTGACGCGAAGTTGGTAGGAGAGCACCTTGGGTGAAATCCTTGCAACCAATGAGAACGAACCAACCCAGGCTCGAGCCGCACATTGAGAAATGCACGGTTCGAGCCAGGGTCAGGTAAGTTCACTCTCACACACACCTCTGATGCTTTCTGTTTGTTATCCTTTCGTATAGTGGACTGTTGTTACCTTACCAGAGCAGGCGGGTGGCACACCACTCAGGGAGGACCTTTGAGGTGAGAGTTCTATCGCTTTCATAACAAACAGAAAGGTGCGCGTACAAGCATGGATGTGTACGAGATGCGTTACGGCAGGAATTATGGTCGCCGTGAGGCAGATCGCTCGCGGCGCGAACGCTCACGTGAGCGCGGGCGCTCGCTGGAGAGGTCGCCGCGGCGGCCTGAGCGATCGCCGCGGAGGCCGGCCTTTCGCGCGGATCAGGTCCCTCTCGCGCCAGATCGCCAGGAGGGAGGATCCGCCCGAGAAGGAAGAGGCGGATCTGGATCCGTCACGACGGGGAGTGACCCGTGGCGGACGGACGGGCGTCACGGAGCGGATGGCGGTCGTGGGTACCGCCAGGACACGGGAGCATACCGCTCGCCGGAGGAAGGCTATCGCCGTCGCGAAGAGAGAAGTCGCGGGCGAGGTCTGGAGGAGCTCTTCTCGGGTTGCCAAGGCGATCTTGATGTGGATGGAGAAGACGAGGCCGACTCGGCGAATCGTGTGCGGGAGACGAATCGTGAAGGCGAGACCAAGGGCGATGACGAACCCCAGGAGGAAGGCGCAGGCGAGCAGCGCGAGATGCCCGCTGAAGTTGATGACGACGATCCCGCGCAGGCGGGCGTGGCGGCGGAGCCGAGCACGGCGGAGGCGGAAGGAAAGGGCGGTACTCGAGACCTGCCGCGCGACGGAGAGAAAGGTGACGGCGGGGGGCGTGGCAGTGGCGCGCGTTCTCCAGATCCGCGTCAGCAGCGTGACGAGGGACGTGGCGGCGGCGCGCGTTCGCCTGATCCGCGCCTGAATCGGGACGGAGGACGCGGCGGCGGTGCGCGCTCGCCAGAGCCTCGGCTGAATCGTGATGGGGGACGCGACGGAGGCACGCGCTCGCCAGATCCACGGATGTATCGGGAGGGGGGGCGTGGCGGCGGTACGCGCTCGCCAGATCGGCGGCAGAATCGTGACGGGGAACGCGGTGGCGGCGCGCGCGCTCGCCAGATCCACGTCTCCCGCACGAGGACGGGAGGCACGGAAGCGGCTACCGCTCGCCAGGACGGCAGCAGCTGCAGGAAGAAAGGCGCAGAGGCGGCTACCGCTCGCCAGAGCTACGGCGGCACCAGGACAGTGGACGCGGGGGAAGTGTGCGCTCACCAGATCCGCGGAGGTATCACAACTGGAGAAGCGGGGGGGAGCTGCGCTCTCCAGGTCCTCGTTACCCTCGTGATGAGAGACGCGGAGGCGACTACCGCTCGCCTGATCTGCAACGGTATCATGGAGAGAGGTGGGGAAGCGAGACGCGCTCGCCCGACTGGCACAGGCAACATGAAGAAAGCCGAGGAGGCGGATACGGCTCGCAGCTTCGGCAACAGAGCAGGGATGAGGGGCGAGGCGGAGGGTATCACTCACCGGATCGGTACTTTCAGCATGACGGAAGACGTACCAGTGAGGGAGGACGGGATCAACGCAACAGCAGAGAGGAAGGCAGCGGGCTGATGCACAGCCTAGAACGGGCTAGAGAGGCGAGGGAAGGAATACTGCGGGCGAGAGAGAGAGGAGCATCAGGGAGATCAGCAGGAGGGCCGAGCGAGGCGTGGGGAGAAGGCAAGGGAAGCACGGTAATGGCCACGAGAGTAGAAGTGCCAGCACGCTTCTCAGGAGATCAGCGCACGGGCCCCACGCTGAAGAACTACCTGATGCAGGTGGGCAACGTGCGGTACAGATGCGAAAGGAGCGGCATGGACTCGGTGGACTTTTTCCTGAGTCTGCCAAACACATTGGAAGGGGAGGCGGAGACATTGTACAGGATGAAGATGGATGAGCTACTGGAAAGGGCAGGAAGGTACGGGGAAGACCCTACTGAAGCATTCCTGAGGCGGCTGAAACGGCAGTTTCTAGGTCACACCGCAGAGAAGATCAGGGAATTCCAAGATTTCAGGAAGGGGCGGGGCGAGTCACTACTCACCTACTATAACCGGCTGGTCAACCTGGCAGAGGATGTGACTTGCGCAGACATGGCCCTGCTCGTGAGTAAATTCCTGGATGGGCTGGAGGGCACTTTGGGAAGCGGACTGCGGATGAAGGTGTATGAGATGGGGGCCGACACAACGCTTGAAGAGGTGTTTGAACTGGCAGAGAAGATGGAGCTGGCGCAGAGGAAATATGAAGCATACAGGCCCAGACAGGCGGAGCGAGGCAGGGGGCCTACATGGGCTGCGGCCATGATACCGGAGGAGAAGGACAGGGCAGCGGGAAGAGGGGAGACCAGGCATGACACACGAACATGCCACAGATGCGGGCAGCCAGGACACTTACGCCGAGACTGCAAGAACTGTGACTCCTGTGGCAAGCCAGGGCATCGGCGGCGGGAATGTCCAACGGCACCGAAGTGTGAAGACTGTGGGAAAGGAGGGCATGCAGCAAAGGAGTGTTATCAGCGGGAGGGAGCAGCGAAGAAGTCACCAGAAGATCTGGAGAAGCAAATCAGCAGGCTGCAGGCCCAGCTGCAGGCAATGGGACCATGACGGGAAGCAGAGGCGGGGATGTACGCCAAGGAAGAGGAGGAAGAAGATGTGGAGCAGGATGAGGAAGCCGCGTTCATGGTCTGGGCGGGAAGAGGAGAGAATGAGATGGAGCATGAGGAGCAACCAGCATACATGGCATGGCGAGGAAGGGAGGAGAGGGGGTTGCGCAGCGGAGGAAAGGATGCACGGAAGGAGCAGCTGAGAAAGGAGCGGGAGAGAGGACAGAAGCCGGAGGAAAAGGAGGAGAGATGCACAGCAGCACGGCACCCCCAGGAGAGGTTGGCTTGCCAGACTTCCGTGCTGCTGATCCAAGGTGGTGCGCTGTCAGTGGAAGGGGAGAAGGCTAAGACGGCTATTATAGACACTGGAGCGCAGAGCGTGATACTCGGAAAGGGGATGGCCGAGAAGCTGGGACTGTGGGCACCTGACAGGCATGTGGTGAAGGGGATGCTAGTGATGACAGCAGAGGGGGGAGATTCGAAGTGGATGCCTTGTACGAGGACTCCAATAGAACCGACGGTGCTGAAGGGGGAGAAGCATGAGACGCCGGTTAGAATCAGGTGCGGGATCTCAGAGTCAGAAGATTTTGACGTCCTGGTGGGCACAGAGATGATCTTTGCATTGGGCATGACCATCTGCTTCTGGAAGGAGACAGTGGAGTTCAGAACCAGGTGGTGGAGGAAGGGTGAGCCACTGGGGCAGCTGCCGGTGCAGTTTGTCAGGACCAAGCCAAAAAGGGCCTACAGGGCAGATCTGAAGGAGGTGACAGCGAAGCAGGGGGCACAGAAGGCCGCAACAGGCAAGGGACAAGGTGGGGAGCCCAGGATGCGTTTCATGGACGAACCTAGCCAGCAGACCGATTGGCAGCAACCCATTCGGCTGGTGGAGCTGTTCGGAGGAGTCGGGGCGGGACTGGCAGCAGTGGTGCGAAATGGAATTGCAGTGAAGCAGTGGATTTACGTGGAGAAAGCACCAGAAGTGAGGGAAATAGCGGAGCATCAGGCGTGGGAGTTGCACAGAGAGTTCCCGGAGCTGCTGCAGGGAGAGGTGATCAAGGCAGCAATGAGCAGAGGAGTGAACGATGTAAGGGCCATTACGGAAGCTGAGGTAGCAAGCTGGGGGCACGTGGACCTGTTGGTGGCAGGGTGGGAATGCCAAGGGGTATCATGGGCAGGGAAGGGCAAGGGTGAGCAAGACCTACGAACACAACTGATGGAGGATCTGTTCAGAGTCATGGAGTGGGTGCAGGCGAGGCAAGGCAGAGTGGCTTACCTGCTGGAGCACGTGGATATGGAGGGAGACGTGAGAGAACCGATAAGACTAGTAAGGGAGAGAGTGACCAGACAGGTGGGGAAAGGAGTGAGCAGTGATGCGGCGCGGATGGGAGCATATGCGCACAGGCTCAGGATGTACTGGCAGAATGTGGTACCAGTAGAAGACCTGCAGAAGGAAATAGAAGGGGTGCAGAGAGCTGGGGGACGGAAGCTGAGCGACATATTGGAGCCAGGAAGAACGCCAGCACCAGTGACCAAGAAGGGCTACAACAGGCATTATCCCTGCAACCAGGTGGGACAGGAAAGGCAGGCACTGCCTACCCTGGTGTCATATGAGGGGGCAGCAGGCTATCAGATGGATGGGAAGCAGCCAGGCCCAGGATTGGTGCATGACCACAGGAAGGGACAGTGGGAAGAGCCAACGGCCTTGGAGAGGGAGCTGGCCATGGGATACAAGGAGAACGCTACAGCAGCCCCAGGCGTGAGCGAGAAGGAACGGAAACGGGCATTGGGGAATGCCATGGATGGGTACATGATGAGGTGGTTGGTGCAGCGGATGTGGAAGGAGACAGTGCTGCACTGGGGACTGAAGGAGGGAGAAAACACAGTGGCGACGGTGAGGCAAGGGGTGTGGGCCTGCCTGCAGAAACAGGAGCCAGAGTGGAAGATAGGTGAGAGCATGAGCGAAGAAGGGAAGGCAGCGATGCGGGCACTGCTGGCAAGGCATCGGAAGGGCTTCGCCTTCACACTGCTGGAGTTGGGGAAGTGCAAGATCAAAGAGATGGCGCTGAAATTGAGTAGTGATGAGCCGGTGTTCCACCGCAGGAGGAAGATGCCACCAGGGGATGAAGTGATCTGCAGGGAGAAGATAAAGGAGCTACTGGAAGCCGGACTGATCAGGAGGTCAGAATCAGAATACGCTACCCCAACCGTGGTGGCAGCCAGGAAGGACTTGACAGGCGAGGTGCTGAGTAGGAGGATGTGCGGGGACTACAGAGATCTCAACAAAATTACAGTGCCAGATAGATACCCAATGCCGATGGCGGAAGAGCTCTTTGACAAGCTGGCTGACGGGGTGTTCTTCACGACGCTGGACCTGCGACAGGGGTTCAATCAAATCAAGATCAGAAAGGAGGATGTGAAGAAAACGGCTTTCCACGGACCGGATGGGCTGTACGAGTGGCTTTAAATGCCCTTCGGTCTGAGGAACGCCTCGGCGGTGTTTCAAAGAGTCATGGACGCGGTGCTGCGGGGAATAGAACACGCGGCGTGCTATATTGATGATGTCGTGATCTTCAGCTTGACCGAACAGCAGCACCTGGAGGACGTGGAGAGGACATTGACCGCCATAGAAGGGGCAGGGCTCACCTGCCATCCCAACAAGTGCAGGTGGGGGGAGCGGACAGTGCAGTATCTTGGGTATGAGGTCACAAGGGGGCAGATTGGTATCCAGCAAGCGAAGGTGCAAGTGCTGGACAGGCTGAGGGAACCAAGAGACAAGTCAGGGCTGCGTGCGGTCTTGGGCTTCCTCAGCTACTACAGGCGCTTCGTGCCGAACTTCAGCAAACGAGCGACAGTACTAAATGGGATGCTGCGGGAGGACAAGGCATGGGAGTGGGGAGAGGAGCAGAGACAGGCACTGCAAGACCTCATGACAGCCGTGAAGACAGCGACAGTGCTGCGGCTGCCAGCAGCAGACCAGCCCTTCATCCTCTACACAGACTGGAGCAGCCAAGGGATGGGAGCAATATTATGCCAGGAGGTGGAGGGAGTGGAGAAGGTGGTGGCCTACGCCAGCAGGAGCTGCAACCCGGCGGAAGCACAATATAGCTCATACATTGGGTAAGGGCTGGCGGCAGTGTGGGCGGTCGGGCATTTCCGGATATACCTGCAGGGCCGAGAATTCACCCTAGTCACTGACCATCAGCCACTCACCTGGCTGATGACTACACCAGGGCTGACAGGCAGGAACGTGCGGTGGGCAGTGAAGCTGCAGGCGTATGATTTCAAGATCAGGCACAGGCCGGGGAAGACGCTGCAGCACGTTGACGGCCTCTCCCGCAATCCACCGCCGCTGGAAACGAAACAGGCCACCCTGGGGACGGAAGAGACAGAGCAAGAGCCGGCACGGACCTTGATCTTACTGGCAAGAGAGGTGGAGCAGACGGGGGCGAAGGGGAGTAAGGGGCCAACCGACATCTGGTTGGATGCAAAGGCAATGCAATGGGTGAAGGGAGAAACCGAGGAGGATGAAACGGTGCCTGAGAGAGTAAGGGCACGAGGGCACCACTACAGGTGGTATCAGCAGCAGCTGCAGATCAAGACGGAGGATGGGTGGAAGCTGGTGCCAGCGCCCGAGGACCGTGAAGCAGTGATCAAGGAAGTGCACACTAAGCTGGGGCACTTCGGGCACGAGAGGACCGTACACCTGCTGAAGACGGGCTGGTGGTGGGAAGGGATGCGCAGGCAAGTAAAAGAGTGGGTGGAGGGGTGCGAGGCGTGTCAGAGGAGCAAAGCAAACCTGACGCAGGCCAAAGTAGAGCTGCACTCACTGCCAATCTGCGGACTAGGGTTCCGTTGGTCCCTGGACCTCGCGGGAGAGCTGCCACTGAGTCGGAGCGGGAATCAGTACATCGTGTTCATGGTGGAACATGTGAGCAAGTGGCTGGAGGTGCGAGCGATCCCTAGCAAGAGCGCGAGGCACATTGCAGCAGCCTTCAAAGCGCAAGTAGTGTGCCGATTTGGAGCATGCGGGGAGGTACTCACAGACCAGGGAACAGAGTTCCAGGGGGAGTTCAAGAAGCTGCTGGCGGAGTCTGGCATCACGCACCGAAAGACCTCCCGCTATCACCCGCAGAGTGATGGGCTGACTGAGAGAGCCGTGCAAACCTTCAAGCGGGGGCTGCGGGCCTACGGGGAGCAGAGGAAGAGGGATTGGGATGAGGAGTTGGACTGGATCGCGGCAGGGTACAGGTTCGGGAAGCAGGCAGCGTTGAAGGATCACTCCCCGTATAGCCTGCTGTTCGGACGAGAGCCGATTCTGCCAGTGGGAGCACCACGAGTATTGACAGATACAGTGACAGCGGGCACGATCAGGAACTGGGTAGCCCTGTCCGAGGTGAGGGCGCGCTACATGCGCTACATGATGCCAGCCGCGTTGGAGAATCTGCACAACGCGCAGCTCAGGGACGCAAGAAGATACGAACAGAGGCAACACAGAGGGGAGGGAAGAACAGCAAAGGATGTCTGTGAAGGACAGGAAGTCTATCTGAAGAGGGCTAAGCAGGACGCCCTTGACGTGGGGTTGGGGACCATCCGCTGGAAAGTCAAGGAGGTGCGCCCCTCAGGGGTGCTGGTCTTGGAAAACGACACCGGAGGCAACCGAAGGAGCTAAGGGACGAAGAGCATGAGGATTAAGGCAGATGATGAGGGTAGAGCTGTATCTCCGACATTCCCCCCACCTCCACCTCCACACACTCATGCAGCAACACAGAGTCACACTCACTCACTTCAGCGTTGTGGATCTTGTACGCGTGCAGGATCTGATAGCACAGCTTCTCATCGATGTGCGTGAGAGGAGTGCCGAACCCCCTGTTTCCCCCTTCCCCCCACCACCTCCACACACTCATGCAGCAACACAGAGTTACACTCACTCAATTCAGCGTTGTGGATCTTGTATGCGTGCAGGATCTGATAGCACAGCTTATCATCGATGTGTGTGAGAGGGGTGCCCCTGCTTTCACTGCGCACCTGATGCTGCGTAGACACAAGCACACTGCAGAATGACTCACCTCTGCATTGTGGATCTTGTACTCGTGCAGGATCTGATAGCACAGCTTCTCATCGATGTGCGTGAGTGGGCCTGTAGAGTTGAATGAGATGCCGCCCGTCTTCTTCTTCTTAAAGTAGATCTGATGGGGGAGAGGGGTGTGGTGCGGTGCGGTGAGGTGTAGTGTGGCGTGGTGTGGTCCTGTGTCATGTGGTGTGCAAGAGACAGCATTAAAAGGAGATTCTACTCGTCTTCTTCCTAAAGTAGATCTGATGGGCAGGTGGGAGGATGGGGAGAAAGGAGAGAGATGGATCCATACAGAGACTGGGACGGTGAAAAGGGGTCACATGCATGGACTTGAATGGCAGTTCTTTACCCTTTCTCATGTCACACTTCCCATTCCTTCTCCCTTTCCCTGCTAAGTGCCAGCGCAACTGCTTAACTGCAACCCAGCCCATACCCTCACCTCAGCCTATACCCCCAGCCAACCCCCTCCCAGGCTCACAATGGGAGGTGCTTGTTTAAACGCAGGCCCACAGCCTCATCAATAGTGCCGTCCACCCCACCCTCCCCCTCTCTCCTCCACTCCCCTTCCCCAATACCTCCCCCCCCCCCCCCCCCCCCCAAACTTTCAGCCAACCCCTCAAAGGCTCACAATTGGACGGCTGCTTGTTCAAACGCAGGCCCACAGCCTCATCACTAGTGCCGTCCACCGTCCCCTTCTCTCCACTCCCCTTCCCCAATGCCCTCCCCCACTTTCAGCCACCCCCTCCCGTGCTCACATTGGGCGGCTGCTTGTTCAGGCGCAGCCCCACGGATTCGAGCTCCTTGGTTAGAATCTGACGGTGGGCGTCGCTCTGGTGGTGTTGAGAGGGGTGGAAGGTGGTGGACGGGTACAGATAAAGGAGCAAGAGAGGGAGAATGGGGCGGGGTGATGAATAGGTGGTGGATTCCACCTATTCTACCAGCTAGCCACCACCTCCTTCCGGTCCCGTCAACCCTGCCTATGCTAGCAGCTAAGAGCTACTTCACACAGGCTTGCATCCTTGCTGCCTCTTGCCACCCTCCCTTGCCCTGTCTGCTCAGCCTCCAGCTGTGCTTCCAGATCCAGCTGGCTCCCCAAACCTATCCTGCACACATAAGGAAAACAAACAAGCATGCACACGAGCACCCATCCATCTCATCCTAAGCTGCTGCTTCTTGCTGCCGCTGCCTTGTCTGCCTCTGCTTCTACAGCCCGCCCCACCTCGCTTACGTAAGTTCCAGCTCCCCGCTCACCCATGCAACCCTCCGACCCTCAGGCTCGGCAACCGTCGGCTCCCCCAGTCCCTCTTCCGTTCGTGAAACGTCGAATGTCTCTTCGGCTCCCATCCTCGTTGACTTCGCTTCGCTATGTACAGTATCTACAGTATATACAGCCCATCCTCCTCATTGCCTTACCCTTCACATTCATGAAAATGTGACACTTTCCATCACCCCGCCTCATTCTCCCGCTTTCCATCACCCCACCCCATTCTCCCGCTTTCCATCACCCCGCCCCATTCTCCTGCTTTCCATCACCCCGCCCCATTCTCCCGCTTTCCATCACCCCGCCCCATTCTCCCTCCTTCCATCACCCCGCCCCATTCTCCCTCCTTCCATCACCCCGCCCCATTCTCCCGCTTTCCATCACCCCGCCCCATTCTCCCGCTTTCCATCACCCCGCCCCATTCTCCCGCTTTCCATCACCCCGCCCCATTCTCCCTCCTTCCATCACCCAGCCCCATTCTCCCTCCTTCCATCACCCCGCCCCATTCTCCCGCTTTCCATCACCCCGCCCCATTCTCCCGCTTTCCATCACCCCGCCCCATTCTCCCTCCTCATATCACCCCGCCCCATTCTCCCTCCTTCCATCACCCCGCCCCATTCTCCCGCTTTCCATCACCCCGCCCCATTCTCCCGCTTTCCATCACCCCGCCCCATTCTCCCGCTTTCCATCACCCCGCCCCATTCTCCTGCTGTCCATCACCCCTCCCCATTCTCCCGCTTTCCATCACCCTGCCCCATTCTCCCGCTTTCCATCACCCCGCCCCATTCTCCCTCTTTCCATCACCCCGCCCCATTCTCCCGCTTTCCATCACCCCGCCCAATTCCCCCGCTTTCCATCACCCAGCCCTATTCTCCCGCTTTCCATCACCCCGCCCCATTCTCCCTCCTTCCATCACCCCGCCCCGTTCTCCCTCTTTCCATCACCCCGCCCCATTCTCCCGCTTTCCATCACCCCGCCCCATTCTCCCGCTTTCCATCACCCCGCCCCATTCTCCCGCTTTCCATCACCCCGCCCCATTCCCCCGCTTTCCATCACCCCGCCCCATTCTCCCGCTTTCAATCACCCCGCCCCATTCTCCCGCTTTCCATCACCCCGCCCCATTCTCGCGCTTTCCATCACCCCGCCCCATTCTCCCGCTTTCCATCATCCCGCCCCATTCTCCCGCTTTCTATCACCCCGCCCCATTCTCCTGCTTTCCATCACCCCGCCCCATTCTCCCGCTATCCATCACCCCGCCCCATTCTCCCTCCTTCCATCACCCCGCCCCATTCTCCCTCCTTCCATCACCCTGCCCCATTCTCCCGCTTGGAGGGAGAATAGGCGGATACTATCCATTGCTTGTATGTTTCCCTTTTTACACGAGAGTTTTGCTGTAAATCGAGCAAGCAGTGATCTGAGGGAGATATGGCGAGCAAGGAACTGTAGATAGGTGAAAGGAGGCGTGGTATGTGAAGGAGCACAGAGCTCATCACATACAAGCAAATTGAGGAGGCATGCCCACGAGGTCTGGGTTAGATTTCGCCGCGAAGGAACCTATAGGGGTGAGCGACGCGATGGAGGGTGATGGTAAGAATGACAGGGAGGCTCAAGGAGCAGCCGGCGCGCACGGCGCGGAAGGAAGCGAGCGCGGTAGGCAAGGGGGAGCCACTGGCTCCGACACCGCGCGCGAGAGGACGCGTGAAATCGATGAAGAAGGAGAGGAACGCAAGGCAAAGAAGCCGGTATCAGAGAAGGGTGGTACGAACGCCGGAGGGAGGACGGGAACGGATCGACCGTATCAGCGCAGCGCATCATGGCAGGGGTTTGAGGAAGAGGCCGCTTCATCGCGCTGGCGATACACCATGCTCCCGAAGGTGGAAGTGCCGGAACGATTTTCGGGAGAGGTTCGGAGAGGTCCATCCCTGAAGAATTACCTAATGCAACTGGAAATCCTGCGAGCGCAGTGGGAGCGTGATCAGCTGGCGGCAGAGGAATTCTTCCGAGGATTGGCGAATACACTGACGGGAGAGGCGGAGACCTACTACCGGATTTGCCGCCGCGAGCTGCTGGATTGGGCGGCGCAGGGGAGAGCGGGAGAAAGAGACCCGACAAAGCGGTTTTTGGAGATGCTGCGCGAGCAATTTCCGTTACAGACGCCCGAGCGGGTCGTAGAATTCAGAGATTTCAGGCGAAGGACGGGTGAATCCCTGCTGGCGTACTACGGGCGACTGGTGGAGTTAGGGGAAGATATGAACTGCACGGATCAAGGGCGGCTCGTCAGTAAATTCTTGAACGGATTGAACTACGAACTGCAGCGGGATGTGCAGGTGAAGATCTTTGAGTTGGGGGCAGCGGCGATGCTGAAGGTGGCGTACGAGACGGCGAAGAGAGTGGAGACGGGTCGGCGGCTGTTCGAGGTAGAGCGCACTGCGGAGAGGTCGGCAGAGAGGAGACGGCCAGCGTGGAGCGCCAGCCCGGTGGAGCACGAGCGGCCGCCAAGAGGACCGACAGATCTGCGCAAATGCCACAACTGCGGTAGGGGCGGACATCTGCGCCGCAACTGTCGCAACCCACCGGCGTGTTCCATTTGTGGTAAAGAAGATCATCTGCGGAGGGACTGCCCAGAGGCGCCGACGTGTGACAAGTGCGGGAGGAGGGGACACGTGGAGAAGGACTGTTACTCGCGTCGAGGGGAACCTAGAGAAAGGGGGGAAGTGTCGGAAATGCGGGCGGAGATAGAACGGCTGAGAGCTCAGCTGGAAGAGCGAGAAAAGGGGACTGAGAGAAAACCAGCTATGGTGGCAAGGCAGGAGGAAGAGGAAGAAGGAAGCGAGGAGGAGTGCTGCTTCATGGCAAGGCCGGCAAGGGAGAGGGACGAGCTGGGACTGAGGCCAAGGGAGAGGCACCTCCGGCAGCGGATGGAGGGACGACAAGAACACGGGCCAAGGAGGCTAGCAGGAGAGGACAGGGGAGGAGTGGCACCTCGTCGGCACCCACTGGAAAGGCTCAGCTGCGCGGCGTCGGTGCTAGTGGCAGAAAAGGGATACATCACGATAGGAGGGCTGCCAGTGAAGCAGGCCATCATTGACACTGGAGCCCACCCGGTACTGATAGGAAGGCGACTAGCGGAGCAGCTGCAGCTGGACAGGCCGGAAAGGCAGATAGCAGAAGGACTGCTACTAATGACATCTGAGGGAGGTGGGACGAAGTGGATGCCGAAGACTCGGGCCACCGTGGAGATTATGATCAGGCAGGGAAGCCCCGAGGAATGCTCGGTGAAGCTGCAATGCGGCATCTCACCTTCAGAGGACTACGACCTGTTACTAGGAGTGGAGTTCCTCTACAGCATCGGCTCGACTATCTGCATGTGGGAGGAGCGGCTGACATATCGAGTGACGTACTGGGAGTACAATGGATGTGTAGCAGAGCTGCCGGTGCGCTTCATCCGACGGGAACCCAGAGAGGCGTATCAAGCTGAAGTGAAGACAGCAGAGGAAGAGCTGGGGCGCTTGAACTGGGAAGCGCTGGAGGAAGAGAGGAGGCACAGGGACTGGCATCGCCAGCAGTGGGGAGAGAGTGGCAGCCTGCGGCAGCTGCATTTGGATGGAAGGGTGTTTCAGAAGCCGATTGTACTTTTGGAGTTGTTCGGTGGGATCAGCACAGGGCTAGCAGCGGTATTGAAGGCTGGTCTGCGTGTGGAGAAATACATATACGTGGATAACGATGACACCGCGAGCGCAATATCATGGCATCACATTAAGAAACTGGAAGAGAGGTACCCATCTCAGCTGTATGAAGGAGCAGTGGAACGGGGGGCAGAATGGATCTGCCATCGAGTGGAAGACGTTAAGGAGCAGGCGCTGGAACACTGGGGGCACATAGACTTGGTAGTGGCAGGCTAGGAATGTCAGGGAATGTCCAGAGCAGGGGAGGGACGAGGAATGGCAGATCCAAGGAGCGAGCTGTTTCGGGAGCTAATCAGGATCTTGAAGCTGATCAAGCGTAAGCAAGGGGAAGTGGCGTATATAGTGGAGAACGTGGACACGAGGGACGACCAGAGAGAGGCGGTGAAGCAAGCGGAAGAAGAGATCCGAGGAGAACTAGGAGCAGGGGTCGCGTGGGATGCCGCACAGAATGGCAGCAGGGCACACAGGCCTCGAAGGTACTGGCAGAACGTGCTACCAGAAGCTGCGCTGCAGTATGAGCTGTCCCTCATGGAAAGAGCACGACCGCGACTGGTGGCGGATATACTGGAGCCCGCGCGGACCCCTGCGCCAGTACGACACGCGGATCATGAGACGCAGTACCCTTGTAATGAAGTCGGCAAACCAAGGCAGGCTTGGCCCACGCTGGTGACGTACCAGAACGCAGAAGGATTTAAGCTGAAAAACGGGCAGGAGGGGCCGGGGATGGTGTTCGACCGGTTGAAGGGAGTCTGGGAAGAGCCAACAGCAATGGAGCGGGAACTAGCCATGGGCTTCATGGCAGGAGCGACCGCGAGTGCAGAAGTGACGGAGGATCAGAGGAGGAGGGCATTGGGGAAGGCCATGGACCTTAACGCCCTGCACTGGCTGATAGCAACGATGGACCGGCACCTGGAGCGCAACAGATGGGAACAAAGGAGGGACCATGCGGCATGGGCAGATCCCAAGACAGAGGATGATGAATTGAAGGAGAGTCAGGCCGAGAAATTCCTGGAGCTCCTAGAGGAGGAAGCATGGGAGATGCAAAGGAAGGGAGTGCCGCAGGAGAAGAGGAGGGATAGGTTGAACGACCACCCAGGAGTACCAGGAAGCTATCCAGATCAGGAAGAGGAAGAGGAAGAATGGTGGGAAGGAGAGCCAGAGATGGATTGGGATTCAGAGGAAGAAGAGGACCCAACAGAGAGATGGATCCCAGATCCGGACGAAGTCTTCTTGGGACCTAGCAGGGCCTACATGGCAAGGGATGCTGCGGAGATAAGGGGATTGGACCAGGAGGGGGAGGGAGAGGCTGAGGAAGGAGGCGGACCAGGGGTGCCAGCACCGGCTGCAGCAAGGGAGACGGTAGGAGGCACGGAGAACAGGACAGAGGCAGCACCGCCCGCAGCAGCTGAAACTCAATGGGACATAGGAGGCGCCATTCAAGGACCCGCTGCTATCAGGCTGGAGGCTGTGCTGCGGCAGCACGCAGCAGCGTTCGCACATACGGTACATCAGCTAGGCAAGTGCGTGACCAGCACCATGCGCCTGCCCTTGACCAGCGAAGTGCCGGTGTATCAGCGGCGGAGGAGGATGAGCCCACAGGACATCAGCGTCTGCACAGAGAAGTGTCAAGAGCTGTTAGCAGCAGGTCTCATCAGGAGGTCGACGTCAGACTACGCAGCAGCGACAGTTGTAGCAGCACGGACAGACCTGACAGGCGCCATCCTGTCCCGCCGCATGTGCGGGGACTACAGGGGGTTAAACAAGGTGACGGCGACGGACAGATACCCCATGCCAATGGCGGAAGAAATATTCGACCAGCTGCAGGGAAGCTGGGTCTTCTCCACTCTGGATTTGCGACAGGGCTTCAACCAAATACCTATAGCCGAGGAGGACAAGAAGAAGACCGCATTTCATGGGCCGGATGGACTGTACGAGTGGAACTTCATGCCCTTTGGTTTGCGAAATGCTTCAGCGGTGTTCCAGCGAGTCATGGATGCGGTGCTGAGGGAAGTGAAAGGGGCGGCGTGCTATATCGACGATGTGATCATCTTCAGTCCAGATGCAGACGCACACGTGCGGGATGTAGAGGCAACACTGTCAGCAATTGAGGCGGCAGGCTTGACGTGCCATCCGGAGAAGTGCCGCTTCGGGCACAGCAGCGTGGCGTATTTGGGGTTTGAGGTAGCAGGGGGAGAACTGAGCATCCAGAAAGCCAAAGTGGAGGTGCTGGACCGAGTGGTAAGGCCGAAGGACAGGAGCAGTTTGCGGGCTCTGCTGGGCTTCCTTAACTACTACCGGAAATTCATCGAGAATTTCAGCAAGAAAGCTGCGCCACTGAACAAGCTGCTTCGGGAGGAGCAGAAGTGGCAGTGGGAAGAGGCGCAAGAGCACGCCTTGCGCGGCTTGATGGAGGCAGTCAAGGCTGGGGCCGTGCTGAAACTACCGAACGGACAGCAGCCATTTACCCTGTATACGGACTGGAGCAGCGTGGGAATGGGGGCAGTCTTGAGCCAGATAGACAGTGGGGTAGAGAAGGTAGTAGCCTTCGCGAGCAGGACCTGCAGCCCAGCTGAGGCAAACTACTCGTCCTATGAAGGGGAGGGGCTGGCAGCCGTCTGGGCTGTGGGACACTTCCGAGTGTACCTGCAAGGGCGACACTTCACGCTGGTCACAGACCATCAGCCTCTGCTGTGGCTGATGCACAACCAGACACTGACTGGGAGGAACGCGCGGTGGGCCATGAAATTACAAGAATACGACTTTACGGTGAAACACAGGCCTGGCAAGACAATGCAGCACGTGGATGGGCTCTCCAGGAACCCACCAAAGGGAGGCGGGAGGACGGAACCGCAGCTGGAGCCCCCTTCAGCAGCACTGACTGCCATGATCAGGGAACGAGGGGCGGGGGGAGAACTGCAGAAGGGCGCGGCAGATGTGTGGCAGGATGAGGAGACGCTGAAGTGGATTAAGGGAGAGACAGCCGAGGACGGGGGAGCGGGAGCAAGAGCAAGGGCACGGGGGCAGCATTACAGATGGTTCCAAGAGCAGGTGCAGCTGCAGACAAAGGACGGGTGGAAGCGGGTGCCGGCGCCAGCAGAGAGGGAAGGTATAATCCGAGAAGTGCATAGCAAACTGGGGCACTACGGTCCGCTGCGGACAGTGCAGCTGCTGCAGACAGGATGGTGGTGGGCAGGAATGCGCAAGGAAGTAAAGGAGTGGGTGGAGAGGTGCGAGCTCTGCTGCAGAAACAAGGTGAGTCTGCTGAAGAGCCAGGCAGAGCTACAGCCCTTGGACATCGTGGAGCTAGGGTATCGTTGGTCGCTGGACATTGCAGGAGAGCTGCCCATGTCCAGAAGGGGTAGGCGGTACGTGCTGCTCATGATTGAACATGTGAGAAAATGGGCGGAAGCAAGGCCCTTGGTGGCGAAGACGGCAGAGGCGGTGGCAGAGGCATTCGAGGAGATGGTGCTGACAAGGTTTGGCGCGTGCGGGGAAGTACTAACAGACCAAGGCACGGAGTTTCAAGGGGAGTTCAAGGAACTGTTAGCAGAAAACGGCATACAGCACCGCACCACCTCCAGGTACCATCCTCAGAGCGATGGCCTGACTGAGAGGCTGGTGCAGACGGTGAAAAAGGGGCTGCGTGTGTACGGAGAGGCGAACAAGGGAGATTGGGACAAGAAGCTAGCGTGGGTGATGGCGGGGTACAGGTTCAGTAAGCAGGCCTCACTGAAAGATGTCTCCCCGTATTATCTGCTCTTCGGAAAGCACCCAATACTGCCGGTGGATGCGCCAAGGCTGATGCTCGATAGTGTCACGGCAAGGACGGTGGAGAAGTGGGTAGCACTGGCCGACGCAAGAGCCAGGTACCTGAAGAAAATGCTACCAGCAGCGATGGAGAGCCTGAAGGTGGCGCAGCTGAGGGACATACACCGTTACAAGCAGCGGCAGCTGAACAAGATGGCGGGGAAGCAGGCAGCAGTCGAGGAGGGGCAGGAGGTGTACGTGAAGCGAGCGAAGCGAGACGGACTAGATGTGGGAGTGTCACAGCAGAAGTGGGAGGTGAAGGAGGTTCGTGAGTCAGGAGTGCTGGTGCTGGAGGATGCAAAGGGTAAGAGAGTCATGGACCACGTCACCAACGTGGCCCTCGCGGGAAAGCAGCAGAAGGCGGGAGGCTACACTGGTCCCATGACCAGGGCGAGGACGACAGCAGCAGGTCATGGGAGGGGGCAGGAGAAGTAGCTAGAGGAAGCCAGCATGAGAACCAGAGGCAAGGACACCAGAGAAGGGGGAGGCCACGGAGTAAGGTGAACGGAGCAAGGGAACATGAGAAGTAGTACGCCACAGGAGGGAGAGAGAAGGGCAAGCAGCACAGGGACGATTGGACAGGAGCAGAAGGGGGAGAGGAGAGGAGGAGGAGGAAGGTATCCGACAGCTGTCACATTTTCATGAATGTGAAGGGTAAGGCAATGAGGAGGATGGGCTGTATATACTGTAGATACTGTACATAGCGAAGCGAAGTCAACGAGGATGGGAGCCGAAGAGACATTCGACGTTTCACGAACGGAAGAGGGACTGGGGGAGCCGACGGTTGCCGAGCCTGAGGGTCGGAGGGTTGCATGGGTGAGCGGGGAGCTGGAACTTACGTAAGCGAGGTGGGGCGGGCTGTAGAAGCAGAGGCAGACAAGGCAGCGGCAGCAAGAAGCAGCAGCTTAGGATGAGATGGATGGGTGCTCGTGTGCATGCTTGTTTGTTTTCCTTATGTGTGCAGGATAGGTTCGGGGAGCCAGCTGGATCTGGAAGCACAGCTGGAGGTTGAGCAGACAGGGCAAGGGAGGGTGGCAAGAGGCAGCAAGGATGCAAGCCTGTGTGAAGTAGCTATTAGCTGCTAGCATAGGCAGGGTTGACGGGACCGGAAGGAGGTGGTGGCTAGCTGGTAGAATAGGTGGAATCCTGAACATACTATCCATTGCTTGTATGTTTCCCTTTTTACACAAGAGTTTTGCTGTAAATCGAGCAAGCAGTGATCAGAGGGAGATATGGCGAGCAAGGAACTGTAGATAGGTGAAAGGAGGCGTGGTATGTGAAGGAGCACAGAGCATAGGAGAAGTAGCTAGAGGAAGCCAGCATGAGAACCAGAGGCAAGGACACCAGAGAAGGGGGAGGCCACGGAGTAAGGTGAACGGAGCAAGGGAACATGAGAAGTGGTACGCCACAGGAGGGAGAGAGAAGGGCATGCAGCACAGGGACGATTGGACAAGAGCAGAAGGGGGAGAGGAGAGGAGGAGGAGGAAGGTATCCGACAAAAGCGCGAGAATGGGGCGGGGTGATGGAAAGAGGGAGAATGGGGCGGGGTGATGGAAAGCGGGAGAATGGGGCGGGGTGATGGAAAGCGGGAGAATGGGGCGGGGTGATGGAAAGCGGGAGAATGGGGCGGGGTGATGGAAAGAGGGAGAATGGGGCGGGGTGACGCAAGGAGGGAGAATGGGCCGGGTGATGGAAAGCGGGAGAATGGGGCGGGGTGATGGAAAGCGGGAGAATGGGGCGGGGTGATGGAAAGCGGGAGAGTGGGGCGGGGTGATGGAAGGAGGGAGAATGGGGCGGGGTGATGGAAAGCGGGAGAATGGGGCGGGGTGATGGAAAGCCGGAGAATGGGGCGGGGTGATGGAAAGCTGAAGAATTGGGCGGGGTGATGGAAAGCGGGAGAATGGGGCGGGGTGATGGAAGGAGGGAGAATGGGGCGGGGCGATGGAAAGCGGGAGAATGGGGTGGGGTGATGGAAAGCGGGAGAATGGGGCGGGGTGATGGAAGGAGGGAGAATGGGGCGGGGTGATGGAAGGAGGGAGAATGGGGCGGGGTGATGGAAAGCGGGAGAAGGGGGCGGGGTGATGGAAAGCGGGAGAAGGGGGCGGGGTGATGGAAAGCGGGAGAATGGGGCGGGGTGATGGAAAGCGGGAGAATGGGGCGGGGTGATGGAAAGCGGGAGAATGGGGCGGGGTGATGGAAAGCTGGAGAATGGGGAGGGGTGATGGACAGCGGGAGAATGGGGCGGGGTGATGGAAAGCGGGAGACTGGGGCGGGGTGATGGAAAGCGGGAGAATGGGGCGAGGTGATGGAAAGCGGGTGAATGGGGCGGGGTGATGGAAGGAGGGAGAATGGGGCGGGGTGATGGAAGGAGGGAGAATGGGGCGGGGTGATGGAAGGAGGGAGAATGGGGCGGGGTGATGGAAAGCGGGAGAATGGGGCGGGGTGATGGAAAGCGGGAGAATGGGGCGGGATGATGGAAAGCAAGAGAATGGGGCGGGGTGATGGAAAGCGGGAGAATGGGGCGGGGTAATGGAAAGCGGGAGAATGGGGAGGGGTGATGGACAGCGGGAGAATGGGGCGGGGTGATGGAAAGCGGGAGAATGGGGTGGGGTGATGGAAGGAGGGAGAATGGGGCGGGGTGATGGAAGGAGGGTGAATGGGGCGGGGTGATGGAAGGAGGGAGAATGGGGCGGGATGATGGAAAGCGGGAGAATGAGGCGGGGTGATGGAAAGCGGGAGAATGGGGCGGGGTGATGGAAAGCGGGAGAATGGGGCGGGGTGATGGAAAGTGGGAGAATGGGGCGGGGTGATGGAAGGAGGGAGAATGGGGCGGGGTGATGGAAAGCGGGAGAATGAGGCGGGGTGATGGAAAGCGGGAGAATGGGGCGGGGTGATGGAAGGAGGGAGAATGGGGCGGGGTGATGGAAGGAGGGAGAATTGGGCGGGGTGATGAAAAGCGGGAGTATGGGGCGGGGTGATGGAATGCAGGAGAATGGGGCGGGGTTATGGTAAGCTGGAGAATGGGGTGGGGTGATGGAAAGCGGGAGAATGGGGCGGGGTGATGGAAAGCGAGAGAATGGTGCAGGGTGATGGAAAGCGGGAGAATGGGGCGGGGTGATGGAAAGCGGGAGAATGGGGCGGGGTGATGGAAGGAGGGAGAATGGGGCGGGGTGATGGAAGGAGGGAGAATGGGGCGGGGTGATGGAAAGCGGGAGAAGGGGGCGGGGTGATGGAAAGCGGGAGAAGGGGGCGGGGTGATGGAAAGAGGGAGAATGGGGCGGGGTGATGGAAAGCGGGAGAATGGGGCGGGGTGATGGAAAGCGGGAAAATGGGGCGGGGTGATGGAAAGCGGGAGAATGGGGCGGGGTGATGGAAAGAGGGAGAATGGGGCGGGGTGACGCAAGGAGGGAGAATGGGCCGGGTGATGGAAAGCGGGAGAATGGGGCGGGGTGATGGAAAGCGGGAGAATGGGGCGGGGTGATGGAAAGCGGGAGAGTGGGGCGGGGTGATGGAAGGAGGGAGAATGGGGCGGGGTGATGGAAAGCGGGAGAATGGGGCGGGGTGATGGAAAGCCGGAGAATGGGGCGGGGTGATGGAAAGCTGAAGAATTGGGCGGGGTGATGGAAAGCGGGAGAATGGGGCGGGGTGATGGAAGGAGGGAGAATGGGGCGGGGCGATGGAAAGCGGGAGAATGGGGTGGGGTGATGGAAAGCGGGAGAATGGGGCGGGGTGATGGAAGGAGGGAGAATGGGGCGGGGTGATGGAAGGAGGGAGAATGGGGCGGGGTGATGGAAAGCGGGAGAAGGGGGCGGGGTGATGGAAAGCGGGAGAAGGGGGCGGGGTGATGGAAAGCGGGAGAATGGGGCGGGGTGATGGAAAGCGGGAGAATGGGGCGGGGTGATGGAAAGCGGGAGAATGGGGCGGGGTGATGGAAAGCTGGAGAATGGGGAGGGGTGATGGACAGCGGGAGAATGGGGCGGGGTGATGGAAAGCGGGAGACTGGGGCGGGGTGATGGAAAGCGGGAGAATGGGGCGAGGTGATGGAAAGCGGGTGAATGGGGCGGGGTGATGGAAGGAGGGAGAATGGGGCGGGGTGATGGAAGGAGGGAGAATTGGGCGGGGTGATGGAAAGCGGGAGTATGGGGCGGGGTGATGGAATGCGGGAGAATGGGGCGGGGTTATGGTAAGCTGGAGAATGGGGTGGGGTGATGGAAAGCGGGAGAATGGGGCGGGGTGATGGAAAGCGAGAGAATGGTGCAGGGTGATGGAAAGCGGGAGAATGGGGCGGGGTGATGGAAAGCGGGAGAATGGGGCGGGGTGATGGAAGGAGGGAGAATGGGGCGGGGTGATGGAAGGAGGGAGAATGGGGCAGGGGTGATGGAAAGCGGGAGAAGGGGGCGGGGTGATGGAAAGCGGGAGAAGGGGGCGGGGTGATGGAAAGAGGGAGAATGGGGCGGGGTGATGGAAAGCGGGAGAATGGGGCGGGGTGATGGAAAGCGGGAAAATGGGGCAGGGTGATGGAAAGCGGGAGAATGGGGCGGGGTGATGGAAAGAGGGAGAATGGGGCGGGGTGACGCAAGGAGGGAGAATGGGCCGGGTGATGGAAAGCGGGAGAATGGGGCGGGGTGATGGAAAGCGGGAGAATGGGGCGGGGTGATGGAAAGCGGGAGAGTGGGGCGGGGTGATGGAAAGCGGGAGAATGGGGCGGGGTGATGGAAAGCTGAAGAATTGGGCGGGGTGATGGAAAGTGGGAGAATGGGGCGGGGTGATGGAAAGCGGGAGAATGGGGCGGGGTGATGGAAGGAGGGAGAATGGGGCGGGGTGATGGAAAGCGGGAGAATGGGGCGGGGTGATGGAAAGCCGGAGAATGGGGCGGGGTGATGGAAAGCTGAAGAATTGGGCGGGGTGATGGAAAGTGGGAGAATGGGGCGGGGTGATGGAAGGAGGGAGAATGGGGCGGGGCGATGGAAAGCGGGAGAATGGGGTGGGGTGATGGAAAGCGGGAGAATGGGGCGGGGTGATGGAAGGAGGGAGAATGGGGCGGGGTGATGGAAGGAGGGAGAATGGGGCGGGGTGATGGAAAGCGGGAGAAGGGGGCGGGGTGATGGAAAGCGGGAGAAGGGGGCGGGGTGATGGAAAGCGGGAGAATGGGGCGGGGTGATGGAAAGCGGGAGAATGGGGCGGGGTGATGGAAAGCGGGAGAATGGGGCGGGGTGATGGAAAGCTGGAGAATGGGGAGGGGTGATGGACAGCGGGAGAATGGGGCGGGGTGATGGAAAGCGGGAGACTGGGGCGGGGTGATGGAAAGCGGGAGAATGGGGCGAGGTGATGGAAAGCGGGTGAATGGGGCGGGGTGATGGAAGGAGGGAGAATGGGGCGGGGTGATGGAAGGAGGGAGAATGGGGCAGGGTGATGGAAGGAGGGAGAATGGGGCGGGGTGATGGAAAGCGGGAGAATGGGGCGGGGTGATGGAAAGCGGGAGAATGGGGCGGAATGATGGAAAGCAAGAGAATGGGGCGGGGTGATGGAAAGCGGGAGAATGGGGCGGGGTAATGGAAAGCGGGAGAATGGGGAGGGGTGATGGACAGCGGGAGAATGGGGCGGGGTGATGGAAAGCGGGAGAATGGGGTGGGGTGATGGAAGGAGGGAGAATGGGGCGGGGTGATGGAAGGAGGGTGAATGGGGCGGGGTGATGGAAGGAGGGAGAATGGGGCGGGATGATGGAAAACGGGAGAATGAGGCGGGGTGATGGAAAGCGGGAGAATGGGGCGGGGTGATGGAAAGCGGGAGAATGGGGCGGGGTGATGGAAAGTGGGAGAATGGGGCGGGGTGATGGAAGGAGGGAGAATGGGGCGGGGTGATGGAAAGCGGGAGAATGAGGCGGGGTGATGGAAAGCGGGAGAATGGGGCGGGGTGATGGAAGGAGGGAGAATGGGGCGGGGTGATGGAAGGAGGGAGAATTGGGCGGGGTGATGGAAAGCGGGAGTATGGGGCGGGGTGATGGAATGCGGGAGAATGGGGCGGGGTTATGGTAAGCTGGAGAATGGGGTGGGGTGATGGAAAGCGGGAGAATGGGGCGGGGTGATGGAAAGCGAGAGAATGGTGCAGGGTGATGGAAAGCGGGAGAATGGGGCGGGGTGATGGAAAGCGGGAGAATGGGGCGGGGTGATGGAAGGAGGGAGAATGGGGCGGGGTGATGGAAAGCGGGAGAATGGGGCGGGGTGATGGAAAGCCGGAGAATGGGGCGGGGTTATGGAAAGCTGAAGAATTGGGCGGGGTGATGGAAAGCGGGAGAATGGGGCGGGGTGATGGAAGGAGGGAGAATGGGGCAGGGCGATGGAAAGCGGGAGAATGGGGTGGGGTGATGGAAAGCGGGAGAATGGGGCGGGGTGATGGAAGGAGGGAGAATGGGGCGGGGTGATGGAAGGAGGGAGAATGGGGCGGGGTGATGGAAAGCGGGAGAAGGGGGCGGGGTGATGGAAAGCGGGAGAATGGGGCGGGATGATGGAAAGCGGGAGAATGGGGCGGGGTGATGGAAAGCGGGAGAATGGGGCGGGGTGATGGAAAGCGGGAGAATGGGGCGGGGTGATGGAAAGCGGGAGAATGGGGCGGGGTGATGGAAAGCGGGAGAATGGGGAGGGGTGATGGACAGCGGGAGAATGGGGCGGGGTGATGGAAAGCGGGAGACTGGGGCGGGGTGATGGAAAGCGGGAGAATGGGGCGGGGTGATGGAAAGCGGGTGAATGGGGCGGGGTGATGGAAGGAGGGAGAATGGGGCGGGATGATGGAAGGAGGGAGAATGGGCCGGGGTGATGGAAGGAGGGAGAATGGGGCGGGGTGATGGAAAGCGGGAGAATGGGGCGGGGTGATGGAAAGCGGGAGAATGGGGCGGGATGATGGAAAGCAAGAGAATGGGGCGGGGTGATGGAAAGCGGGAGAATGGGGCGGGGTGATGGAAAGCGGGAGAATGGGGAGGGGTGATGGACAGCGGGACAATGGGGCGGGGTGATGGAAAGCGGGAGAATGGGGTGGGGTGATGGAAGGAGGGAGAATGGGGCGGGGTGATGGAAGGAGGGTGAATGGGGCGGGGTGATGGAAGGAGGGAGAATGGGGCGGGATGATGGAAAGCGGGAGAATGAGGCGGGGTGATGGAAAGCGGGAGAATGGGGCGGGGTGATGGAAAGCGGGAGAATGGGGCGGGGTGATGGAAAGTGGGAGAATGGGGCGGGGTGATGGAAGGAGGGAGAATGGGGCGGGGTGATTGAAAGCGGGAGAATGAGGCGGGGTGATGGAAAGCGGGAGAATGGGGCAGGGTGATGGAAGGAGGGAGAATGGGGCGGGGTGATGGAAGGAGGGAGAATTGGGCGGGGTGATGGAAAGCGGGAGTATGGGGCGGGGTGATGGAATGCGGGAGAATGGGGCGGGGTTATGGAAAGCTGGAGAATGGGGTGGGGTGATGGAAAGCGGGAGAATGGGGCGGGGTGATGGAAAGCGAGAGAATGGTGCAGGGTGATGGAAAGCGGGAGAATGGGGCGGGGTGATGGAAAGCGGGAGAATGGGGCGGGGTGACGGAAAGCGGGAGAATAGGGCGGGGTGATGGAAAGCGGGAGAATGGGGCGGGGTGATGGAAAGCGGGAGAATGGGGCGGGGTGATGGAATGCGGGAGAATGGGGCGGGGTGATGGACCAGGCAAGATCCTGGACTAGGCAAGCTGCTGGACCAGGCATGCTCCTGGACCAGGCAAGCTCCTGGACCAGGAAAGCTCCTGGACCAGGCAAGCTCCTGGACCAGGCAAGCTCCTGGACCAGGCATGCTCCTGGACCAGGCCAGCTCCTGGACCAGGCAAGATCCTGGACCAGGCAAGCTCCTGGACCAGGCACGCTCCTGGACCAGGCAAGCTCCTGGACCAGGCAAGCTCCTGGACCAGGCAAGCTCTTGGACCAGTCAAGCTCCTGGACCAGGCAAGCTTCTGGACCTCGCACGCTTCTGGACTAGGCAAGCTGCTGGACCAAGCAAGCTCCTGGACCAGGCAAGCTCCTGAACCAGGCAAGCTCCTGGACCAGGCAAGCTCCTGGACTAGGCACGCTCCTGGACCACGCACACTCCTGGACCAGGCACGTTCCTGGTCCAAGCCAGCTCCTGGACCAGGCAAGCTCCTTGACGAGGCAAGCTCCTGGACAAGGCAAGCTCTTGGACCAGGCAAGCTCCAGGACCAGGCAAGCTCCTGGACCAGGCAAGCTCCTGGACCAGGCACGCTCCTGGACCAGGCAAGCTCCTGGACCAGGCAAGCTACTGGACCAGGCAAGCTCTTGGACTAGTCAAGCTCCTGGACCAGGCAAGCTTCTGGACCTCGCACGCTCCTGGACTAGGCAAGCTGCTGGACCAGGCAAGCTCCTGGACTAGGCACGCTCTGGACCAGGCACACTCCTGGACCACGCACGCTCCTGGACCAGGCCAGCTCCTGGACCAGGCAATCTCCTTGACGAGGCAAGCTCCTGGACCAGTCAAGCTCTTGGATCAGGCATGCTCCTAGACCAGGCAAGCTCTTGGACCAGGCAAGATCTTGGACCAGGCAAGCTCCTGGACCAGGCAAGCTCCTGGACCAGGCAAGCTCCTAGACCAGGCAAGCTCCTGGACCAGGCAATCTCCTGGACCAGGCACGCTCCTGGACCAGACAAGATCCTGGACCAGGCAAGATCCTGGACCAGGCAAGCTCTTGGACCAGGCAAGCTCCTGGACCAGGCAAGCTCCAGGACCGGGCAAGCTCCTGGACCAGGCAAGCTCCTGGACCAGGCAAGCTCCTGGACCAGGCAAGCTTCTGGACCTCGCACGTTCCTGGACTAGGCAAGCTGCTGGACCAGGCAAGCTCCTGGACCAGGCAAGCTCCTGGACCAGGCAAGCTCCTGGACTAGGCACGCTCTTGGACCAGGCACGCTCCTGGACCAGGCACGTTCCTGGACCAGGCACGCTCCTGGACCAGGCCAGCTCCTTGACGAGGCAAGCTCCTGGACCAGGCAAGCTCTTGGACCAGGCATGCTCCTGGACCAGGCAAGCTCTTGGACCAGGCAAGCTCTTGGACCAGGCAAGCTCCTGGAACTGGCAAGCTCCTGGACCAGGCAAGCTCCTGGACCAGGCAAGCTCCTGGACCAGGCACGCTCCTGGACCAGACAAGATCTTGGAACAGGCAAGATCCTTGACCAGGCAAGCTCCTGGACCAGGCAAGCTCCTGGACCAGGCAAGCTCCTGGACCAGGAAAGCTCCTGGACCAGGCAAGCTCCTGGACCAGGCAAGCTCCTGGACCAGGCACGCTCCTGGACCAAGCAAGCTCCTGGACCAGGCAAGCTCCTGGACCAGGCAAGCTCCTGGACCAGGAACGCTCCTGGACCAGGCAAGCTCCTGGACCAGGCAAGCTCCTGGACCAGGCAAGTTCTTGGACCAGTCAAGCTCCTGGACCAGGCAAGCTTCTGGACATCGCACGCTCCTGGACTAGGCAAGCTGCTGGACCAAGCAAGCTCCTGGACCAGGCAAGCTCCTGGACCTGGCAAGCTCCTGGACCAGGAAAGTTCTTGGACCAGTCAAGCTCCTGGACCAGGCAAGCTCCTGGACCAGGCAAGCTCCTGGACCAGGCAAGCTCCTGGCCCAGGCAAGCTCCTCGACTAGGCACGCTCCTGGACCAGGCACACTCCTGGACCAGGCACGTTCCTGGACCAAGCCAGCTCCTGGACCAGGCAAGCTCCTTGACGAGGCAAGCTCCTGGACCAGGCAAGCTCCTGGACCAGGCAAGCTCCAGGACCAGGCAAGCTCCTGGACCAGGCAAGCTCCTGGACCAGGCACGCTCCTGGACCAGGCAAGCTCCTGGACCAGGCAAGCTCCTGGACCAGGCAAGCTCTTGGACCAGTCAAGCTCTTGGACCAGGCAAGCTTCTGGACCTCGCACGCTCCTGGACTAGGCAAGCTGCTGGACCAGGCAAGCTCCTGGACCAGGCACGCTCCTGGACCAGGCAAGCTCCTGGACTAGGCACGCTCTGGACCAGGAACACTCCTGGACCACGCACGCTCCTGGACCAGGCCAGCTCCTGGGCCAGGCAATCTCCTTGACGAGGCAAGCTCCTGGACCAAGCAAGCTCTTGGATCAGGCATGCTCCTGGACCAGGCAAGCTCTTGGACCAGGCAAGATCTTGGACCAGGCAAGCTCTTGGACCAGGCAAGCTCCTGGACCAGGCAAGCTCCTGGACCAGACAAGCTCCTGGACCAGGCAGTCTCCTGGACCAGGCACGCTCCTGGACCAGACAAGATCCTGGACCAGGCAAGATCCTGGACCAGGCAAGATCTTGGACTAGGAAAGCTGCTGGACCAGGCAAGCTCCTGGACCAGGCAAGCTCCTGGACCAGGCAAGCTCCTGGACCAGGCATGTTCATGGACCAGTCAAGCTCCTGGACCTCGCACGTTCCTGGACTAGGCAAGCTGCTGGACCAGTCAAGCTCCTGGACCAGGCAAGCTCCTGGACCAGGCAAGCTCCTTGACCAGGCTAGCTCCTGGACTAGGCACGCTCCTGGACCAGGCACGCTCCTGGACCAGGCACGCTCCTGGACCAGGCACGCTCCTGGACCAGGCCAGCTCCTTGACGAGGCAAGCTCCTGGACCAGGCAAGCTCTTGGACCAGGCAAGCTCCTGGACCAGGCAAGCTCTTGAACCAGGCAAGCTCCTGGACCAGGCAAGCTCCTGGACCAGGCAAGCTCCTGGACCAGGCAAGCTCCTGGACCAGGCACGCTCCTGGACCAGAAAAGATCCTGGACCAGGCAAGATCCTTGACCAGGCAAGCTCCTGGACCAGGCAAGCTCCTGGACCAGGCAAGCTCCTGGACCAGGAAAGCTCCTGGACCAGGCAAGCTCCTGGACCAGGCAAGCTCCTGGACCAGGCACGCTCCTGGACCAGGCCAGCTCCTGGACCAGGCAAGTTCTTGGACCAGGCAAGCTCCTGGACCAGGAACGCTCCTGGACCAGGCAAGCTCCTTGACCAAGCAAGCTCCTGGACCAGGCAAGCTCTTGGACCAGTCAAGCTCCTGGACCAGGCAAGCTTCTGGACATCGCATGCTCCTGGACTAGGCAAGCTGCTGGACCAAGCAAGCTCCTGGACCAGGCAAGCTCCTGGACCAGGCAAGCTCCTGGACCATGCAAGCTCTTGGACCAGTCAAGCTCCTGGACCAAGCAAGCTTCACCTCGCACGTTCATGGACTAGGCAAGCTGCTGGACCAGGCAAGCTCCTGGACCAGGCAAGCTCCTGGACCAGGCAAGCTCCTTGACCAGGCAAGCTCCTGGACTAGGCACGCTCCTGGACCAGGCATAAACCTGGACCAGGAATGCTCCTCGACCAGGCCAGCTCCTGGACCAGGCAAGCTCCTTGACGAGGCAAGCTCCTGGACCAGGCAAGCTCTTGGACCAGGCAAGCTCTTGGACCAGGAAAGCTCCTGGACTAGGCAAGCTCCTGGACCAGGCAAGCTCCCGGACCAGGCAAGCTCCTGGACCAGGCAAGCTCCTGGACCAGGCACGCTCCTGGACCAGACAAGATCCTGGACCAGGCAAGATCCTGGACCAGGCAAGCTCCTGGACCAGGCAAGCTCCTGGACCAGGCAAGTTCCTGGACCAGGAAAGCTCCTGGACCAGGCAAGCTCCTGGACCAGGCAAGCTCCTGGACCAGGCACGCTCCTGGACCAGGCCAACTCCTGGACCAAGCAAGCTCCTGGACCACGGCAAGCTCCTCGACCAGGCACGCTCCTGGACCAGTCAAGCTCCTGGACCAGGCAAGCTTCTGGACCTCGCACGCTTCTGGACTAGGCAAGCTGCTGAACCAAGCAAGCTCCTGGACCAGGCAAGCTCCTGGACCAGGCAAGCTCCTGGCCCAGGCAAGCTCCTGGACTAGGCACGCTCGTGGACCAGGCACACTCCTGGACCAGGCACGTTCCTGGACCAAGCCAGCTCCTGGACCAGGCAAGCTCCTTGACGAGGCAAGCTCCTGGACCAGGCAAGCTCCTGGACCAGGCAAGCTCCAGGACCAGGCAAGCTCCTGGACCAAGCAAGCTCCTGGACCAGGCACGCTCCTGGACCAGGCAAGCTCCTGGACCAGACAAGCTCCTAGACCATGCAAGCTCTTGGACCAGTCAAGCTCTTGGACCAGGCAAGCTTCTGGACCTCGCACGCTCCTGGACTAGGCAAGCTGCTGGACCAGGCAAGCTCCTGGACCAGGCACGCTCCTGGACTAGGCAAGCTGCTGGACCAGGCAAGCTCCTAAACCAGGCACGCTCCTGGGCCAGGCAAGCTCCTGGACTAGGCACGCTCTGGACCAGGCACACTCCTGGACCACGCACGCTCCTGGACCAGGCCAGCTCCTGGACCAGGCAATCTCCTTGACGAGGCAAGCTCCTGGACCAAGCAAGCTCTTGGACCAGGCATGCTCCTGGACCAGGCAAGCTCTTGGACCAGGCAAGATCTTGGACCAGGCAAGCTCTTGGACCAGGCAAGCTCCTGGACCAGGCAAGCTCCTGGACCAGGCAATCTCCTGGACCAGGCACGCTCCTGGACCAGACAAGATCCTGGACCAGGCAAGATCCTGGACGAGGCAAGCTCTTGGACCAGGCAAGCTCATGGACCAGGCAAGCTACTGGACCAGGCAAGCTCCTGGACCAGGCAAGCTCCTGGACCAGGTAAGCTCCTGGACCAGGCAAGCTCCTGGACCAGGCAAGCTCCTGGACCAGGCAAGCTCCTGGACCAGGCAAGCTCCTGGACCAGGCAAGCTTCTGGACCTCGCACGATCCTT